ACCTAATTCATTTCCGAGTTGTTCCGACTTGAGCAGGTGTTCATGTACATTTTACAACACGGAAACTCGTTTTTCCGATGTTCCCGACACCACATGAATGCACCATTCCCCCTTCAGAGAGCTCCTATATTAGGACAGTCTAGATTTTAAAACTAGGTTCAATTTATATTTTGACCTATGATGTATGTGTGTGAATGTATGTACCAGGATTGCAATAAATAATATTTAGCCCATGCAAAAATCTTTTTCCTCAACACATTTAAATAATGACTTTTTCATCTATTTGTTATGTTTTCAGTTCCATTGCATCCAAATCTGGAGACAAATCCTGTGCCAATATTTGCATCAACAACAACCATCCTCTGTACAAAAAGAAGGAAACAAGTAAAAGTGTTGTTTGGGTACCTGTGAGTCCATGTTGAGGGATGAAGCAGGCCTAGAGTCCAGCTGGAGCCCTGTTCCTTCTGCAGATCCTTTAAAATCCTGTTGATTTTTGTCAAGCTTTGACACAAATCTTTGGATATTTGGTTCTTAATTTAATCTTTGTTTAGATTGTGTAAAAGCTGTGGAGGAGAAGCCCTGGATTGCCGGGATTCTGACTGGATTTACTGAAAACTTCTAAGTGAGCGGCCATGTTGTCTGTCAGTCATTTTGACTCTTAAAGGGACAGTTCGCCCCAAACCACAAGCCTTTTATATTTTTTGTCAATTACCTCTGATGATTCAGGAGGAGCCCTCGAGGGATCATGGGTAAGAATCTTTATTACTGCCTTACCTTGCAATAGTTTTGCATTGCCATACATCATAGTTTCATTGTGTTGTATCGAGGCCGTGCACGGTGTCAGTTTTGTATTCAAAGTAAACACAATAAATCAAATGTTCTCCTTTATGAAGTGCCTGTTTTCAGATTTTTAAAGGTTTTACTTTCACTGAACTGACAGAATCTGAAGTATCCGAACAAAACAGTCACAAATGAAGTTCAGAAAATATGAGAAAGAAAAGGGCATCCATAACATGACTGGACAACATGCAGTTTTCATAGCTGCTGGTTATTGATAACCTCTTTGTGGCTTACGTTTTTTTTGTTCAAGGGTTTTCAGTTTTGCCTACTTACAAGCTGCACAAAATGATGTTAATTCCATAATTCTGGCACTTTTCCGAGAAAATAAAGATTTAAATGTACTTTTTCATACTCTGTCCGACGCTCCGATGCCAGATTTAGCCTCCATTTCAGTGCTAGGTGTAGTTGGTCATTTTCACAGTATTGAGAAACGAGTGGTGAAGAACATTGTGGTGAGAATTAAGTATGAAGTACCTTCATGCTTGTATTACAATAACACTGGGGGCTCACCAGTGGAGTGATATAAACGTCATTCACACATCGACTCACCCCGGCTTCAAATCGAACCCATTATCCTGTAGACTGAGCCAGGCTTTAGCGGATGTTTTCCTTATCTTCATATTTTGGTCTTTAGCTTGAATGTGAGACAGAAATAAGCAACTTATGATTTATTGAAATATATTTTCAGTCGCAGAAGAAGAAAGAATTTGAACAACCCTCCGAGTCCTGGTATGGTAATAGGACTCCACTGGTAGTTCTGGTCTCAGTGAATCCCTGCTCCAGACTCTGACCTCTGTGACTCCCCCCCCCGCCTCCCGGCTCTCCTCGCTCTTGTTTAGAGGAGACCACATCCTCTTCCCCCCCAAGGCATACGCTCTCCTCGCTCTTGTTTAGAGGAGACCACATCCAGGCGTCACAGCCCCTGAACAGATGACAGTTCAGAGGGGCTGCCAGCCATTTCCCTGACACCAGGTCAGAGGCAATGACTGTGAGTCGGCCAAATAACACGACAGACTGTCAGCCAAGGAGTCGGTGGGGCTGGGAGGGGACCAGCAGCAGCATTTGGAAGGCTAATAAGCTCCAAGTGAGGAGAAAACAGTGAAGGCATTGCATGTTTTCCCTGCGTCTGCTTGTCACTGTCTGTCTCTAGGGAAAAGGTGTGCTCGCTCGCTCTCTCTCTCTCTCGCTCCATCATTGCCGTCTGGCCTCCCCCCTCCCCTCTTTTCCTGCAGAGAAGAGCTACAGTGTCTGAAAGGCCAATTTCCATCACTCAGCTCATGAATACTGAATGGCCTCGAGTAGTTTTGATTAAAAAGGTAAAAAGGTCACAGACAGAAAATCTGCAATCTTCCCCCGGTCGGAGAGGGATTTCTGGGAAAACAGGTGGAGGAAGAGGAGGAATAATTTCATTTTGAAACCAGAAGAGGGGCTGAAGCTGTTTAGGGGAGAGGACTTTTTCATTTCGTTCCTGATAGAAGAGAAATGTAAGGTATTAACACCCGAGAGAATTGCCTGAAATTGCCGTTTCCCTGTGCAGAAAGTGCTGAGGCAGCGGATACTGTTTTCACACCAGCAGAAAAACTTCCGCAAAATTTCCGCACAATTACTGACTCAACTTACCTGAAGTCATGCTTTTTGTTTGGTTCATGTATTGAGGTATTTGTCATATCCTGTTTTACTTTGTACTGCTTTCCTGCTCCTTGTGTTTACCCACATTGTTCTCACCTGTGTCTGGTTACCTCCTGATTTTCTGCGTATTTAATCCCTGTGTGTCCTCCCTCTTGTTTCAAGTTCATTGTGTGTTCCCTTGTGTCGACTCAGTCCAGCCTTTTCTACTCTGGAGTCTTCTAGTGTTTTTTGACCATAGCCTGCCTTCTTGTTTTTGCCCTTTGTCTGCCCCTTTTGTATTTATTTGTTTTTGCACCGCTGACTGCGTACTTGTGTACAGACCTGGACTGTTTATTAAAATTCTGCTTTTACCAAACTTTTACCCTGCCTCCTGAGACCCTCTCCTCTCCGACAGGGAAAGTCTACCACTCTGAGGGACATTTAAAAAATAAATAAAAACATTTTAAATACTTTATTCATCCAGAAATACTACTACCGCTACTGCCCAACATGTGAAGAGCAGACTCACTTAGATTTCTGGGGCAGCCTGCCTGAAATCTTGTAGAAGTCTGCAGGAGTGTGGAAAAAGGAGAAACTTCTGACATCCTGAGTGTGAGCAGCATCTGCTTGCTGCGTGTGAACAATCCCCTGCAGCACAGCCACAGTCAGGGAGGATTCACTTTCACTTACTGGCTCCTCACAGGATCTGACCTCGTCGCAGGTCGCCTCCTGCAGGTTTTTTTTGCTTGTCGGTGAGACCACACTGCAGGAGGGGGAGGGGAGGGGGAGGGGGAGGGGGAGGGGGGGGGGGGAACAAACATGAAGAGCCAAAAGTATTTGACCCATGAAGAGAAATACAGCATGAGAGCGACCTCCCAGCTTCCACGCATTTTCACAAAAACAAAATGCTTGAGTTCCTTGACTGTTGGCATTTCCTCTGACTCTTCATCAGTCTTCATCATGTGACGAAGAAGGAGGAGTGAAACAAGTCCTCAGGAGGGTTTTATTTATGGATTAGCAAAGTCAAGATGTATGCGTCCCTTTGGTGCATGTCGACTTGAAAGAGTCGTATGAAGTGAAGACTAAGATTTTGGATACAGTTAAAGTCACTTGAAGGAGTGTTCGCTCTCTGAAGTCAGATGTCCTATGAAGGACAAAATACATATCAAAATATCAGATTGAATATTGATCAGTGATGGAGGATAACATCTCTTTCAAGGACACTTTGAGAAGTTAATGAAGTCTACACACACACACACACACACACACACACACACAGGTTTGTCATATAAAAGCAATGAATATGCGGCAGGCTTTGGGAGAACATTTATTTTGGTCCTCAGGTTGTCTTTCACTCACCGGTTGATTTTCTCCTTAAAGAACCTGATACTAAGTTAATATTTTATATGCAAAATATATTTTCCTAGGGCAGTTATGTTGCGTACCCCATGAGGGTCACAGTGGCCGTGGGTTCCAGTCCAACCTCGGCTTTTTGTTGAATGTCGTCCCTCTCTCTCTCCTCCCAACGTCTCTCTTCACATAATTATCACGATAAAACTTTTCTCAGCGTTGACCAGCACCGGGCACTTTTCTTAGGATTGTGAAATGTTCCTCTGGTCAAATATAGTTTGTCATGTTCTGACAATAATTTATTAAACCACCATTAACTATCTGGTGTCTTCATCTTTCACTTAGGAGCAAAGGTCTGCCTTTAAATTAGATTGTTTTTTGGACATTTAACATGAAAGTCATCTATATTGACTGATATGAACATTTGAATCGTTATAACATTTTTAGTCCTGTCTCCCAGGCCTAATCTGAACAAACCAACTTTTTTAAGGATATGGTATTTGTTGTTACAGGATGACGACATGTATACGTTTTTCAACGAGTCAATATTTCTCGATTGACTTTTCATCAAGAAGCCACATCAGGATCCCTTTAAAAGTGAGTTTAATTAAGTGCAATTCATCACCCTGAATCGAGTGTTGTAGTACTCCAAAGTGGTCTTGGTCTCGAGACCAGACCCGCCCCCTGCTGCACAAAATTTGATGATTTTTCATTGATATATTTAAGGTCTTTGTCTTAGACTTGCCCTGCCTTAGTCTTGACTTGGTCTCTATCCCTAAATGTCTTGGTCTCTGAGCACTCTGGTCTCGGTTAGTGTGGTCTGGACTACAACACCACCTGAATCTTTATGTAAAGTAGATTCTTAAAGACCAGAAATCCAGCTGCCTTTAGACATTCAGTTTGTGTTACTACCTGGAGAGCTCATTATAGTTTGAAGCTCTCTCAGCTCAGCTTTAGTTGTTTTTCTTTAATGAGAGGTGAAAAACTAAATCTGCCTGGTTCGTCTCCCTTTGAGGCATCACAGGGTCAACACTGCTCTTGACTTCTCTCCAAGAGCATAAAAACACCAAAGTGGACGCCTCAGATAAACAACATTTGCTCTTTTTGTTTCATGTGCATGCCCCGTGGACATGAGAGAACCAAAAGCACATTTAACTTCAAGATTTCAAACATGAAGCGAAGACAGGAAAACAACGCCTGCAGGCTTTTTAAAACAATCACCATCATTTATTTACAATATATTAAACTGTAATGCAAAATTTATAACAAGTGGTCAATTTGTTCAATAATGAAAATAAACATGAACTATTTTCAAAGCTAGCATGGATCATACACATGTATATATAAATAGTGTGTGCAGTCAGCGATATTACGTCTGCTGTTTTTTTTATTTTTTTGTTTTGTTGAAGTCAGACACATCAGGGTCAAAAAAAACATTTCCACACGTGTCGACTGCATAGAGAATAAAAATGAAGAGTCTACAAAAAGCATGTGTAATAAGATTCACACCCAACGTCTCCCACAACAAACAACATCCACTTTACTCTTTTTTTTTTTTCAGCCCCAAAAGCACTTTTGGACTTGAAATGGCTTTCAAACCATTACCACAGCGTAATGCCACTCAGTGAACAACAGACACATGACCACAGGGAGGGATGTCAGTGACCATGAAGATGTAGGTCTCCTTTTTTTTTTTTTCTTGCTGTTCAGAGGCCTCGTCGGGTTGAACAGACAGACAGACATGCCTCACAGACACAGAGCATGAGTTCACAGTATTCATTAAACAGGATGGAGTATGTCCAGTTCATGAAGATACACTTAGAGTACCAAAATGAGGCTTTTTAAAAACGAGGCTGCTGATTTTCTACATCTTTCTTTTTCACACCAAAAACACATGGAAAGAATCATTTCAGGTAATTATTGTGATGAGCTGATTCGTCTGCAGGACTGACACACTCTCACTAATGAGAAGTTCAAAACTGCAGCTTGCAAAGCTCAAGGCCCAGGGCTTCAACATATGACTATCCAGGTTTCAGCAAGTGCCAGGCAGCAGGGGCAAGTTAGTGCTAATACACAAGTAATTTGAGGTTATAGTTTCAAATTTAAGAGACCGGGTTTGGCAATAATTACAACCAAGCAACGTCTGGTTTGAAGTTTTGAAGTTACTGACATGTAGGTTTAATCACTTGTGTAACTTACCAATCTACTCTGATAGCCTAAGTAGAAACCAACTTTGACAATTTGTTTCACACTGTTTCGGAGTTGAACCCTGTGTTTGTTCCAAGCATCCATTGGTCCAATGACAAAACACAGATTTAGCTTTTGGTCGCTGACCAAGGCGCAATTTGCTGACATGTCAGACACTCAATGAATAATGCCAACAGGACAATAACTATCGTCATAATTCCAGCTTTTCACTTTTCATAAGGAACGGTGAACAGAGCGAGATTAATTCTAGAGAGTTCTGAATAGAGACTGTGTCTAGTTTTGTTTTGACCAATCTCTGATTTCGTAGGCTACCTACTTATGATAAGTCATCAGACAGTCAAGAGTTACTTAAACCATTGGTTTTTAAAACAGACTTTGATGGTGGTCGCCATAATGGAAATGCTGTCTGTAACTAGCCTTCAGTCGACCTAGTAACAGGCAAAGAGTTGAGCTGAGGAGGGTCCTTGAGCCTCCTAGTGAAAAGCAACAACGCACCTGATGAGTTTGGTTCTTGTACCAGGCTGTGAACATCTTTATTTCTGCTGTTTAAATGGGCATTTTAGAATGGGTGTGTATTGGATTTTGCAGCAAGCCTAAATTGGTCACACGAGGAACTGCAGGTTTTTGCGCTTCATTTGGTTTAATTTTTCCACACGAGGTGGCCAACTTGGGTGTAGCCAGCAGTTAGCAGCTAACACTTCCCTTTTCATTCTTATTTTTTGTTTACAGTCTAACAACTTAAGTCGAGAAAACACCTCTAAGAGATGATCATTAGATGCACTTCTATGTAGATGTCTGTTTAAACACCAAGTGTTCAATGATTGCATTTAGGTGGAGGTCGTTCTGCCCTTTTTGCTCTACACACAGACTGTTTGCCTGCACATAACCAAAGGCTGCTGAAATGCTTATGGTCGATAGTACTCGGACTACAAACCTAAACCAGAACACACAGCCCCATAACTTTAGATTCAGCATTGTTATGCTGAAAAGCGCTGCTGGACTAACTGCTGTCATGATTTTCAGACTGATATTGAAAAAGGTTTGGGGATAAAAATATGTTTCTGAAATAAACTTTGAAATATCTCAATGTCAAGTTAGCAACGAAGCTAGCTGAGCTTTTGGGAATTTTGGGAAGTACCAACACTTTTTCCATCAGTATGTTCTGAAAAGCTGAAAGTAGATGGTTTAAGGTCATGATGGTGTGTAGAAGACAGACACATGCTATAAAATCTCCAAAATACTTCCGAAGAGGAGAATTCCATTTTTCTTTTCATTTTGGTCTTCCCATGTGATTTGATGCCAGTTGAAAAATGTAGAAAAACACCGGTCTGTCCCTTTAACATGCTGGGTTGGGAAGCCATGTGATCTGAAGTTTTAGTGAGAAACCATTAAATAAGTGGTGCATATCATCAAGTACATTCCCTTTAGAGAAGGAAAGCACGTCATAGTTAAAACACAGATGACAAGCACAAGGACAAGCATGAGGACAGAGTCCTGTCATCACTGAAGAATTCTGCCGAGTATTTAGTCAAAGAGAGATAAGACAAAGTGTTTTACAGAGGTAAACCGTAGGGAAAGTAATTAGCCTGACGGAAAGTCCTCTGCAAAACAAAAAGTGTCAAACATCAAAAACAAGAGATTCAAATGGAGAAAAAAAAAGCTTCGCAGCAGTCAGCGATGCAATCCTCGTCCCCTGGAAGGAGGAGATAATTTGCCAGCAAAAGGCAGAAAAACTTTGCAGGCAAACAAAAGGCGAGCAGATGAAGATGAGAAAGCGTTCAGCGCACAGAACAGCAGCTGCAGAGGAGCCAGCTGTGGAGGAGCCCACTTACATCAAATGGCACTTATCCCCAAGAACAAAGAAGAAGAAGAAACAAAAAGGCTGGGACTTTTCCCACGACTCCATTAACAATAAGTACAAGAGTGTGCACACATATTCTAACAAAGGCTTTTTGGCAAATACATTGTACAATGCTAATACATGTTATTGTGGTGTATTATATTTGAAGAAGAGAGACAGAGACAAGGAGAGAGAATCTTTCAGCACTGCAACCTTGAGTTCTTTGGCTCAGTTATGACCATGATAACTTGAGTTAAACTGCTGCATGCATGCAACCAGCAGGCGTTAACAACGGAGCTGCTGAGAGTGCAGTGAGGTCACGCATGAGTTTCTTGGTTTTGTAACAAATATGACCAAATCCTGCGAGGATCTGACTGAGTGTTTGAGCATCTACAGTGTTTAAATGTTTCCTGCAGGATTGTGAATTTCTGCCTGACCACACCTTTTGGTCGACCTTTGCATGCAAACAGTCTCAGATGAACGAGTGATGTGTGCGCAGTCGGAGAGAGGACTACGACGTGCTCTCGTGAGGCGTGTCCTCGCCGTCGTCATCTTTCACATGGCTGCCGTATCGGTGTCTGGAGTAGTGAGAGCCTGGGGTCGCCCCACCCTCTTCTTTTTCTTCTTCTTCCTCTTCTTCATCAGATCCATTGAAGCAGTAGCGTCTTCGGCCAGTGGAGCTGCAACAGGAGTGAACAAACAGAGACTTGAATTATTATTTAATCAAAGAGCAGAAAACACTACAGTGCCAAGAGAGCTCAGTCCACTGAAACAGCGAAATAAGGGAAGAAAGAAAATCCTCAATACTACTTTGAATACATCATTGTTTTCAGAAAAAAAGGGCAAGAAAGGATGCTAAAAAAATCTTATACTGAAAAAATATTCAACGTTAAACTCGTGGGTTTGTAGGCTTCTGAAAGTATAATTGATAATGATCATTTTAAATTTGGCACTCTCTTAAAATCCTTGAGGTCTCAATGCTTAATAGCTCCACAAATTGGTGGAATTGTTTCTGTAGATTTCTTTGGCCTGCAGCAGTGAAACAGGCTGTAATGGCTTCAACATAAAACCTTGCCGGGTCCCAGTGCGTCCACTAAAAGTTTTTTGTTTTTGTCACTAACAGGCTCAGATTGTTATTCTGAGTGTCACACCACTTTACAAAAAGGACGCCTTCAGAGATAGACCTTTTTGTTAAAGAGGAAGATGAGACAGCTTTTACATTACTCTCTTTAACGACACCAGACTCCATTGACAGAAACAGTTATTTTAAAGGAGTTGCTGTACGCCTTGATCAGTTAGTTCTTTGGTATTGTTTTGCCTTTGTCTCAGTTTTGATACAGACTAAAAACACACTACATAAACGTATTGGTTATGTGTAAACATGGTTCTCTGAGTGAACCAGTTAGAGGAAAAACAACTCCTATGTTCTGCAAGTTAAAATAAGTGATTTTGTCAATGAAATCTGGTCTGACAGTCAATGTAAGTCCTGAACAAAAAGGTCTATCTCTGTATGGATCCTTTCTGTAATGCTGTCACACCCTCACAATAACAATCTGAGTCTGTCGGTGACGAAACCAGAACTTTTACTGAATCCACTGTGATCAGGGTGTATTCAAGTTGTCACCATTACAGCCGGTGATGGATTGCTGAATGAAGCAATTTACTGGAGCAATTCTACCTTTAAGATGGGTTGCCAAATTGGAGACTTCTTCACAGTAATCCACACAAAAAAACATGCTGTCGCTTCACAGTGGCTTCAAAGTGCTGAATTGAATGTGATTGGACTATTTTGTTTTACTTTACTGTCTTCTAACTTTGCACATGTAAGGAATGTTTCAAATGTTTTTCTAAATTTGACAAACATGTAACCAGAGTAATAATGAGGTTCATATCATGAACCTCATTGTTTTGTGTACTGCAGTGCATTGAGCTCTCCTACCAACACAAAGCATCTCTCACATCTTATGAGCACAAAACCTCATGCAATGCATTTTCATTCTAGCATGCAAACACTGGTTATGAATACAATGTCTATACTGTTTAAAAAACACACAAAGCTCTGTGGAATCATCCTCTTAATAACCCTACACTTGTAAGTGAGTATGCATGAATATGATAAAAACAATCAACTAGAGAGAACCATTAAGAAAAGGAAATGTCTAACATGACTTAATAGATATTTATTGTGTGAATCTCTCAGACTCTTCTGATGCAAGAAAAATACACTCCAATCCGCGGGCTACATGCAGTTCAGCCCAGCTTTTTTCATATTATCTAGTATTCAAACTGCTTAAATATTGCAAACTGGGGGTTAATTACTGTCAAATGTGCATCTCAAATGAATTTGCCAGTTGCTGTAAATCAATGCTCGGGGTCTAATTATGCCTGCAGCGTTGGGGCTGGAAGGTAAAAAGTGATTACGATCTCTTTTAATTGACTCCTGTTATTTTTACCTTTCTGGGGCCATAAATCAATGTGACATCTCAGGAGTAATTAAAGGCTGAGTTTACATCCCTGTTGGGTGAAGCATCTCACCAACTACACTTCCCAATGTGGTAAAACAAGTCTTTTCTGCTCCCCAAAGGGTCCTCAATTAAAGCCCGAACTCTTCTGAACCAGTGAAAAGACAGCATTAGACGTTTTGGTTACGAGTGCTTTTCAAAGCTGAATTTGTGAAGTAAACATCAAACATTGTTAGCATGCCAACGAGGACACGTCAAATCCAACGCAGAAAATTAGAATTCACACTGTGGAGGTGTGAGCGGATCGGTTAGGTCAATCCATGCTTCAAAAACACGCCTTTTTCAGGGGACCAGCACCTGCCTGCCTCAGTCACTGTCAGGCCGGTAGAGGTACTTCATCATCAGGCTGTCCACCTTCTTCTTCCTCTTCTTATCGTCCTTTTTGTTCACTTGCTGGTTCTCGCTTGGCGGCCTGGCTTCCTCTTCCTCTTCTGGACTGGACGTCTTGCGAGTAGGGGCCCTCTTCACACTGCTGGAGCTTCGGTAGGAAATGGTTGAGGCGCCTGAGCTCGAGTCCGATCCAGACTCAGATTCTGAAGAGGAAGAGGAAGACGAGGATGAAGAGGAAGATTGGTCCCTCTTCTTGGACTTTTTCTTGGACTTCTTGGATCTCCTACTGGAGCTGCTCCTGTGCCGACGATCGTCTCCTGAGCCGTCCGACTCGGAGCTGTGGCTTCTCTTCTTCTTCTTGCTCTTTCCTTTGCTCTTGCTGCGATGGCGGCTGCTGCAGCTGCTGGTGCTGCGGGCCGGTCTCATGCAGTCCACTGCTGAGGCAGATCGTCTCAGACTGCTGGCAGGGCGAGCACTGTCTCGCTTCAGGGTGCTGTCTTCTTCTTCGTCTTTCTTGGACTTTTCTTCATCACACTCTGAGTCTTCCAAGCTCCTGCGCTTGAATTTGATAGGCTTGAAGCTCAGCACCTCGTTGATGGCTTTCTCAAGGTCAGGGTCCAGGTAGTTCCGGTGACTGACTGTTTTGATGTCCATGGTATCAATTGGGTCATTATCGGATGTTGTCGCTCTGGCTTGAGATGGAGGCATGGAGATACTTCTGCCGATGGACGAGTGAGGACTATAGGCGGATCTCTCTGTTAAGGCAACACTTCTACTGTCATCCATATCAACGTCAAACTCGCTCAGGCGGCAGCTCCGTGCCAGCGACATATGAGAGTCGGCTCGGCTCACACTTCCAGGACTGCGACCCCCTGACCGTCTGCTGAAGGAAGGACTACTGGGAGTACTGGAATACATTGAGCGTCCACCTCTGTCCTGTTCGAAGCGTGAGGTGGTTCGGCGGCCTCCAAGAGGGCTAGACAGACCTAAGCTGATGGTAGACTTGGCATCATCCTCTGGGCTCAACCCGAGGCGTGTGGAGGCCCGACTCGGTGCAGTGAATGAAACGGTGGATTCTTTGTCAAAGTCACCCCAGCGGCTGTCCATGCCTTTCCTGGCTCGGCTGTTGGCTTCAGAATACGCCTGAGAAATGACAGATTCTCTGCCGTTCTTGTCATCGCCTGCCTGAGACTTCCTCCTGGAACTGAAGGAGTACGCGTCATCCTGATCGGTGCTTTTGGGTTTACTTTTATGGTAGGAGAGAGTGTCTTCTGAATCAGCGTTCTCCTTAAGGGCGCTGAAGAGGGCGTCCCCTTTGCCCCCGATGGAATCAAGGTTGGATCGTTTTCTGTAGCTGAGGGAGCTCATGACCGACACCGACCTGTTGGAGTCTACCTCTTTACCCTCTTTATTTACCTCTTTCCATTCCTTACCCTCTTTCCACTCTTTCCCTTCCTTTGAGTCTACATTTACAGCAAATCTAGAGAGAAACAACAACGGAGAAGACAGAGGAATGAAGACAAAGGGAGAGAAGATGACAAAGATGAGATAAAGGACCAAGAGGTGGTGAGTGAAAGAGGAGAATGAAGAACAAATTAATCAAAACAGAAATGTGATGAGAAATGTAAGAGCTGGAAATTAACCCAACAAAAAAAAAAGGTACAGTAATGACATAAAAGAAAAGGATTAAGAGGAGCGCAAATGGAGACAACCAGGAGGGAATAACAAGGCCATTTTCTGTCCTGAAACAAACAACACAATCATTTGACTGCCCACCAAGGACGAACACAGGCTAGAGTCATGATAACAATGGAACATCCTGCACTTAAGAACCACGTTAAAGCAAATGGAATATTTGTGCAACTGAAGCATATTGACCAGACTCTAACATTTACACAGCCATTTTGTTCAAATTCTATTACAAACAGAACGCTACCAACTAATTTAATTATGATTTAAATTGCTCTGATGTTTTATCAGTAAGCTTAATGTGTTTTTTAGTTGGCAAAAGGGCTGTGCCGTCAGTATAACAGCTCCACCAGACGATTCCTACTGCACAGACTCCCAGTGACATCATGAGAGCAATATGTCAGCTCCCATTTCTGCGGGATTTAGGCTTCAATTTTGTACAACATCAGTAGAGACTTTTCGTCCATCTTATTTACAGTCGGTGGTCTGAACCAACGCGCTTAACTTTTAGCTCTATGTTCCTTTTACCTCTTCTTGTTGGCCTGTTCTTTGTTAACTTGCTGTGAGAAGTGACAAACAATGTCATTGTACTTGTACTCATTTAAATGTGAATTCAAGCCACTGGAATTTAACTGACGCCACTAAAGTGGGAAGTGCTCGGTAGATCTATGAATCTCTCTGTGCCTGCCGACGGGGACACGCTGCTAACAGAGATTTAAAAACTCCCAAAGTTTTTAAAGTTGGGAGTGGCTCAGCTGGGGGAGGGAAGTTAAATCTTCAGGTAAGGAGACAAATCTAGGGCAATCGAAGCTGTCAGCCTGCAGACACATTCATTAATCTCAGCACGCTGCTCAGGTAGACGATGCCAGCTGGCCATCGGGCATGTCGATAAATCTACTAGGGAGATGGTTTGTTTTTTTGGAAAAAGAGAGTCCCCTCCTCACCAAGCGGCTGACAGCCAAGACAAAGCAGTGAGAAAAATACATTTAGGAAAATAAAAGGTTTTATTTCTTCAGAATATTCTGCTCTGCTTTATTTCCTCTGGGTCGGATCATGTAAAACAGAAAACATGTCTTGCGCTCACTAACTGCTGCTTGAGTGACAGAAACAGCAGCAGCTTTGAGTACTGACCTGGAGCTCTTGAGGCTGCCGTCGTCTGAAAGGTTCTTGGCCGAACCTTTGCTTTTGGACAACCAGGACTTCACCCCATCCACCCGATCCTCCAGCTCAGAGTCTGTGTCTGAATCCCCCTGACTGATGAGGAGTCAGAGACAGGACAACAAGTCAGAGGAAGGTCATAAAGAGCGAGTCAACGTTCAAATAAGAAACATGTTAGTGCAAAAACAGAGGAAAGAGGATTCCTGTGAGTCTCTGTCTGCTGTGGAAGCAGACGATAAAAAAGCAGGCTGTAACGTGTTAGTGTGGCAGCAGAGAGGGATTGTGGCGTTTATTCTGGATGAAAAGGCAGCTCATGCAGTCAGCTCAGAGAGCCCCTGTAAACACACCAACATGCCCACGACAGGTTGTAAAGCTGTAAACGCCGCAGCATTCCCACTGTTGTCATAGTTAGACGAGTACTTTATGTTCTGCAGTCAGCTACAACAAACATTTTACCTCTGCTCGTCCAAAGCTGCTTCGGAGCTCGAGTGCAACCATGACAGGAACAAAACCCAAACACAGAGCTTTATTTTATATTTTTATTTTTTTACAACCTGACTTTGAATGTCACAGGGTCCTCTCTCATGTCTTTTAGCTATGAAATGAACTCGTGCAACTGAGTCATTGCTGGTGTCAGGGTTGAGTGTTATGACGGTACAGTGTAGCAGCAGTAGAGAAGAGGAAACACTTCAGCGTTCCTCGCTTGATCCCTCGATTCTTAACATCTTTGGGTTTCAAACACAACCTTGAGTCTTGCAGGTCCTGCTGCATATGGAAATGTGATTTGTACAAACATGGAGGAGGAGATTGACGTAAAGAAGGAGGAATAATCCCACCTAAAAACAACACCTTTGTTAAGGGAACTTTATTTTTCCATGACCTGCACTGTGGAAAAAAGTCCAGATTCATCCTTCATTTGATAATTATTTCCATTAGCAGCGGTGCGCACACACACACAGATATGCATGCTCTCATCATTTCAGCTCTTGACAGAATGATTTGGTACACAGCTGGGCACTGCACTGTTTTTCCTCTCAATTATCATTACATGTTCACAAACCACCGCGAGCCGGGGAGTAAAAGAGAGGGCTTGTCATAAAATTTGACACGGATGAAAAGAGCGCCACACTCATTAAGTGCCGTCAGAGCCCAGTGCTTGTGTGGCGCTGTGAAATTAAGTTGTTACAGCTTAATAGTCCTGCAGAGACATGGCAGGCGCGGCTCCACATCTCTGCATCTATTTCACAACCACTTCTATCGTGTACAGAGAAAAACAAATATTCTGTTCTCCAGCACACAAGAGAACCACCTATAATTAAAATCATTAGCAGGCAGAGACAAAAAGCTCGCTGCATTTCAAAGGGGAGATCCATCCAGTGAGATTTAAATGCACAGCATTCACAGAATACAATAACCTCGCGTGGTGGCTGCATTCACACCGAAGAAGAAGAGGAGGGAGGGATGGATGGATGGATGGGAGGAAGAACGGGGGCGACGGACTCTTAAAGCTGTAATTAGCTTTGTAGAACATGCCTCGACTATTAGTCAATCCGGGGATTCGCTGCTGCCGACTGTTCTGATGACGGAGCAGCGGAGGCTTTGTCAGAAAAAGACTGTGCAAACATCATTTAACAAGCGGAGAGGACGCGCCGACGTTAGGTGACAGAAACTAAAATCCAGACATGTTTTCTTATCAAATCCTTAAATCTCTGCAAAGATCAAGTTTTTGAGGATAAAATCTTCTCGACAGCTCGGGGAAATTAGTCTTTTGACCTCTGCTATGACTGGATACACTTATTCTAAATAACTCCTTCATTGAGAAATCATGAATTTGAAATTGGGGACTCCACCCTGTTGACCAAGTGACACTGCAAAACGTTCTTTTTTTCCCACTACTGGATTGGATGAACGTTTCCTTCATACATTGTTTTGAAGCATCACCAAATCCAGGTTCCCAGTTTTCTAATCTAAACTGTAAAGCTGAACACCCTAACAACATCTGCATGGAAATTCTCATGCACTTTATAATATCATCATGTTTCTACACCTCTGGTCACAGAAAGATACTTGCCTCTGCGGCTAACACGTTTTCAGACGCACTTGGGAGTCTGTTTTTTTTCTATACAATTGTCCCACTATGTGCATGTGATGACCTGAAAACCAGAATTTAAACTCGACAAGTTAAAGAGAAATAATGACTCTTGGAAAAAGTTCCCTCTAATTCTGCAGCCGAGGAAACTTTTGACTGTCATTATTCTCAGCGGCTCTCCTATCTGTGGACACTTTCCTGATACATTCAGAGCACATAGAGTCCTCTCTCAGGTCTGCACACACAACCACAACGGTGGGCACTATGTAATTGAGCGCTTCACACACCGTGTCAACCACAATAAATGTCCTTGACCACCACACCATTAGTTAAGGCCTGCTGAAAGCCTGGGGGAGGCAAACAAACACAGCGCTGAGGAGACATTAATTGTCTGTGACACTCTGCCGCCATTGGTTGTACATCTCTGTTACACACTATTACATTCATCATTAGCTTGTATGGATCCTCCTCTGCTCCTCTGTGAGCCCTGGGTCTTATAGACGCCCCGCTCCTGCCCCGGTTATAGAAAGCTGTGGACCGGGGTGACGTCCCTGTAGCTCTGCAGCTCAGACAGACATATGCGTCCTCTCAGAGACCATCAGCAGACTCGCGCTTTAAAAAAACACTCTGCTCATTTACAGTGTCGCATGAAAAGGTAACGCTGTTAATCTCCCCCTGCAGTCAGCCTGGAGTTCAGAACAATATGAACTACACTTATCCAAAACGTCATTTATTAACTGTGCTGAGGAGCTACTTAACGCACTACACCCATGACTGTTTGCAGTCCAATTTCAGGGCTGAAGAGGCCTTTAAGACTTCAATGTTAGATAGAAAAATATCAGAGATGTTCCTTCTTCCTCCGAGCATCTGAGTGGGCGGTCTGATTCGATGTTTGACAGCTAGGTAAATTTGTCTCGCTCTCTTGGTACCTGCCTTGACACCACTTTTTGAAGGTCTTGGTCTCGTCCTGGATTCAGATATTTTTTATCCGTCTTGTCTCAATATTAGAAAAGAGGACTTGTTTTTTATTTATTTCAGAGAACAGTAATGGTGACAAGAGCAGGGATGTCTGGAATTGTCAAAAAGAGAAATCTTAAATCAATATTGTTGATTTTTTATTATGTTTTTATATCATTTTGATGCTGATGGTTTGCATGCCCAAGAAGATCATGTTGTAAACATTTCAAGCAGTTTCCATTAAAGGTCACATATTCTCCTCCTTTTCAACCAGTTTAAATAATTCTCACAGCTCCCCAAAACATGTCTGTGACGTTTCTTGTTCTAAATCCACTCTGATCCTGTATTTGATCATGCCTATAAACCCCTCTATTTCAGCCCTGCTCAGAACAGGCTGTTTCTGTGTCTGTACCTTTAAATGTAAATTAGCTGTGTCTGACCACGCCCCCTCTCTGGAAGGGCTTTGATGTCCGGGCTTTCTCTCAGCATGCCCAATTTTCAACAGGCAGACTCAGAGGGCAGAACAAACACCCAGCTGTGGGAGTGTCACCCACCTGGGGGAGGGGTTACTGCCCTTTGTGATGTCATGAAGGGAAAATCTCCAAACGGCACACTTTTTCTGAAAAGTGGAGCAGGCTAATGACTGAGAGGATGGACTTTTCACATCATTGGGGGGTTTGTAGATAGACTAGAGGCACATAGTAGTGTTAGAGAAACATGGTGAAGTGTATTTTGCACAATATATGACCTTTAAAGTATCTTTCTTGTCTTGGATTTGCCCATAATTTTGATTTCATTTTGTCATCATTTCAGACAAAGAAAACTCTGGATTTTTCAAATTTCAATTCTGGCCATGTTGACAATAGGAGGGAAACACCTAAAATGGTCCAAGAGGAACTGGACTCCATATGCTGTGTTTTTTGTGTTTCTTTTGAATTTGGACTTCTAAGATCTACAACACTGGTTTACTTATGTGACTTATCTGGTCTCTTGTTTTTTTAGATTGTCTTGTTACACTTCATCCAGTAGTGGCAGGAGACGCAATTTAATTTTCCTCTACGAGTTATGGGCATGCCCAGGATTTTCTAAATCTTGTTTGCAGAGGTGTTGCAGAATAAAGGGCATCACAATTAGCACCTTATTACCGCCATTGTTGACATTTAAAAGATACATTTTAAGATGGAACTTTTGGAGGTTAGGTCAAGGATGAAGAAAATGTGAATTTGAGGATGTTTAATATGAGTTGAATTGATGTGTTTGAATGTTTCCAGAATGAGACAATTCAAGATTTATTACAAAAACATCTGCTTGGTTTGAATGTTGCTTTCCTTTTTTAATTTGTCATTTCTGTTTTTGGTTTTTATTCCAAGGGTCTATACACCGCAGGTCACACCGACCCAGTCACACACTGATGGTAGAGGCTGCTATGTAAAGTGGCTATCAGTATTAACTCAAACATTCATACACATTGATACGTCGCTGATGTATCAGGGGGAGCAACTTGGGGTTCAGTGTCTTGCTCAAGCACACATCAAAATGTGGCTGCAGGAGCTGGGGATCGAACCCCGACCTTCCAGGCTGAGAGATGGCTAACTTGCTGCCAAAGCCGCTGGTTTAAACCTCTGATTTGAATTTCAGTCATTGTCTATACACAATGAAGAGAAAATCAAGAGAAACAAAAAACCTCTGTTGGGCAGTAACACCATGTCAAAAATACATCTTGACATGTAATCTACAGTAAAGATCTTCATGTGTAGAAAACAAAACTTGATTTAATTCAAAGATATTCTAAGGATTGGGGCGCTGGTGGCGCAGTGGTTAGGGCGCGCGCCCCATGTATGGAGGCTGTAGTCTCAAGCGGGCGGCCTGGGTTCGAGTCCGGCCTGTGGCTCCCATCCCGCATGTCATTCCCCACTCTCTCTCTCCCTCTCCCTGGTTTCCGACTCTATCCACTGTCCTATCTATCAATTAAAGGCACAAAAAGCTCAAAAATAAATCTTAAAAAAAAAAAAAAAAAAAAAAGATATTCTAAGGACTAAGAAGTAGGTCTGTGCCTGTAGGGTTTTGTTGATTTTAGCAAAGCCTAATCCTACTGGATTTAAACTGGATCAATATTTATGTATCAAAATGTAAACATGTATAATTTATAGCTTTCTCCTAACACGAAGAGGGATCATCTCATTAAAATCCTGAAATCCTAAAGTCCTATTCCTTTTAGCTCTGATAAAATCCTACAAATTGTTAGAAAACCAAAGGATAACGGAGGCTGAAGCGGCAGTGATCCAGAGGTTAGAGTCGTGTCTGTGCTCCTTGTCTTGTGAGCAGGATCGCTTTTTGTAAGACATTTGAGAATCCTGCATTATTAAACAGGTGCGAGTCAAAGATTGATGAGGAACACACCCTTTTTTTATCCCGCTGTCAGAGGGGATGTCACTGCCTAGCCGCGGTCACATCTCGCCCTGCAGAGGGACGATGAAAAATTTAAAGGACCCGAGGAGCGAGAGGCCGAGTCGTCTGTTGGAACATGACACAGCACGTCCGACATGATGCCCCTTCACCTACATGAGGCGGTAAACGATGCAGGATGTCCCCCCTCAGGCGGGAGGCGAGGGGAAGATCTTCACCTCGAGGGACATGACTGGACAAAATATGGCGGTGCGACTTTAAATACAAAGCTTTGAAAGTGTAAAACCGTAGAGGAGAGTCTGAGGAAGGAGGCTGTTTTCATGCTGCAGGAACATATTGTCAGAGATATTCATGCATCTCAGCATGTGAGGGCATGCAATGAAGAGTGGAGTAAACCGGGGGTTATGAGGGAATCTCTGAGCACTGGTGATGATGCATCATCCCTGAGCCTTCACACATCAAAGGAACACCCCCCACCCACCTCGGATTTTATGTATCTCTGCCTCTTTCATGAAGCAGTTCTTTTCTGTTTGAATTGTGGAACATGTTTGGATCTGGAGCTGAGCCATCGCTCTTTGATTCTGAGGGCCTGACACCGACAGCTGAAGTCTTAAAATAGATGAAAATTATCCCAGGATCACTAAAAATTCACAAAACAACACAACATGTGCAGAAAGCCAAATATCTTATCTAGTTTTTTTCCCGTCGGGGGGGGGGGATTTTTTTCCTTTAAAACTCAGCTCTTGTCTACAGTAATAGCCAGACGTGAAGCACTGACTGGACCGAAACTAAATCCAGAGAAAAGCTGTGAGTTTTGTTCTCCACTAGATGTGCAAAGACCAAAGGATTCTGCATCATTTTCAGCGCTGCAAACAGAAAAAAAACCCCAACAAACACAGTTCCTCACGTTCGGTTCTGTCTTTTCTGATACTTTGTCACCATGTCTTGCAAACTGGTCGTGATGAAGATGATGATGTGTGGAGGGACAGACGAGAAAAGAAACCATGAAAAAACAGAAAGGAAAGACATGAAAGAAGAGTCAAAAATAATACATAAAACATGAATGATAGCTAAAAATATCTCCGTAATAATGGAGGTCATGGAGGATGCTGTGATGACCCAGTTTTTTTTTTTCCCTTTCTACCTCCTTTGGCGAGCTAACCGCACTGTACGCGTCATGTTTGTGGGGACATTGACTCAGCAAGCCGCCTCAGATTGATCTTGCGTCTGGCATACAGAGAGGAGGAGAAATCCTAACAGCGTGAGTCTCAGTGACTCACACACTGTTTGCTGCTGCTGTAGGGAGAAGAACTCATTGACTGAAAAAAACACGAGTGAAGCTCAGCAGGCCTCTCGGAGAGTGTGAACGTCTTCTTACTCCAGCTCCAGAGGAAATATGGGAGTTTGAGCTGGGTGTGAGAAAAACAGTCTGAGTCAGTGAAAGAACTACCTTTAGACTGCGTCACTAACACTCTCGGTATTTATGTGTTATCTGTGAGGAGCTGCACCAAATGTAGGCTGGGAGGATTGTTGTCTCAGGGGGGTGGAGGGAGGTGTGATACGTGTTTGAAAGCAGGAAAACCAAAATCTGCAAGGCTTGGATTGGTTTGTTGAAACTGTCACTGGTGAAATGGCAATATGACATTCTAAGAGGTCGACCGGTAAACTGATTGGACGATTTATCAGCATCAACAATAGATGAAACATGTCTCTGAAAGTGACATACAAGGGAGCTCTCAGGATGAGAAAATATGAACCGAAACTTGGCAGGTAAAAGTTGATCAGCTCTTTGTCTACAGGTTACGTAAGGACAATCAACCATTCAACTGTCTGTGAATTTAAGATTATGGTTCTCTCACTTCAACATAATTCTGCTACATAACCATCTGTTTTTAAAAAAATAGATTCCCCTATTTAGGAGCAATATTCCCCCAGGAACATGAATAATAATAAACTGTCTGTAATGCTGTATTCACACATACACAAAAGTCCTGGAAATGTCATGTTTTCAGGGTTGAGCCGATGTGTAAACGCAGAGGGTAGATTTCATCTAAAATGTAATGCAGCGAATAGGTGCAAAAAAATGTAAGCTACCTGATTCTACCATAGACTGTAAATATTTATGGAATAAAAATTCACCCCCTCGACAGTGTTTGCTGATGAGGACTATAACTAATGGGACAAATATCATTTTTTGTACTAGGCTGTAAACATGTACATTTCTGCTGTAAAAATGGACTATTTGGAACGTCTTTCAGCAGCTAAATAAATGATCATATCAGATTTTAACGGTCGACCTCTAGCCATCACAAGTGAAACTAACTGACTCAACATAGAGAAAAAAACAATTGAGGGTTTAAGGGAACATGTGTTTCTATAAAAATAATATTTCAGATGTCTGTGTGTAAAGGACAGAACTAGAGTCTGGATGTGATTAGCTTAGCTTAGCATAAAGACTGGAAGCAGATGGAAACAGCTAGCCTAGCTTTGTCTAAGGATCTTAAATGCGTCACTAAAGCTCACTGATCAAACTTTATCCATTAATAATTCTTTATAATCACTTTATATAAATAGTGCTTCTGTGACAGGGCTGATTGTTGGGCACAGGTTGTTGTTGTTGTTGTTGTTGTTGTTGTTGTTGTTGTTGTGTTTGTGCAGCACAGCGGAACAAGGAAGCCTCACTGTGAACGCTACACTACAGGAACTCTATGTGCCTGGCTGTGTTTTTTTTCCTTCATCACAGCTCTGGTTCTGTTGTACACACAAACAGCGGCTGATATTGATCTCCTCTTCTCACTCTGGGAACGAAAAACAAACATCTTTTGTGGAGAAGACAATAGAAGCAGGAAAGACGACACGTGGAACTATTTCACCCCCAGAAAACTATCAGGGTGAAGATTTATAGTGAGGAGGGGTTACGATGGACGGTCCTGACAAAAAGAGACACAGATACAAATACTCCAGTGAGAGAAGTCAAATGTAGAAAAAGAGACCGCTCCTCTTGAATGTGGACCTTTAATGAGAACAAATTCATAACTGGATGAGCTATAAACATCCACAGTACTGTCTCACTGCTTTTGGATAGCAACAAGGATCAAGTGACCTGTAAAGAAAAGGTGGTCAAACATCCTACAAAAGCAGCTGATACACTTATAATAGTAATAACTGTATTTAGGTGTAATATTTATATGAGCAGTGGGAATTAAGAGCCAATTACACTTCTCCGTCTTGATTTGCAGATATAGTTTGTTCTGTATTTTATAACGTCAACTTCCAACATGTTAATAAAGAGCGAAAGATGTGGTTGGAAGCAATGAGTGAACTACAATCTACACTCTAGAAAGGTTGGGATAATGTGCAAAATGGAAGAAACGTTTGATTGCATCAGTTTCAGACTTTCTGCTTTACGTTGCGTTTTACATAAAATATGTTTTAAACGCACAGTTTGTAAATTCCACCACCAGGGGGCTCTCAATCAAAACAATAACAAAAGATGACGTGGAGGCTGGCGGGGAATCATGGGAGTGATTCTTTCTGCTACTCCCAAGTATTATCTATATGACGTTTTTATCACAGCAGCACATACAGCGACAGTACGGCAGCATTCAGTAGCAGCTCCCTCTTCCGTATGCAGCGGTCTGTGACGTAACATACAGGGTTTCCATGGCAACGATAAACACGTCCCATTACAACTATAAAATGACGGATTTCTCTTGCTTTGACAACTGTTGGAAATCTTTCATGAAATATAAGTACTCATCAAAAAACATATACAATTTTATGTTGAGTACATTTTTAATTAATTTGGATATTTTAGTGTAACAATTCTACATATTACACCTTTAATGTAAGATTTCCTTATTTAGTCTTTATTTAACTTCAGTATGTTTTATTGCAAAGCATCCTAACTATTTTGCTGGCATGGTTTTAAGACTTTAGGTTTAGCTAAAGTCTCAAGATCTTCATAGCGCCCTTTACCTAAATGCCCTCCTCGTGGTATGCAAAAGGTTTTTAAGTTATTCTAAATCGTTGCTTTGGCTTGTGGTAAAACTTCCTGTGATCAAACTCATATGACTTCCATCTTCTGAGATTTTAAAGCGCTCCAAACATCGGTGTTATATCTCTGTACCTGTTGATGAGATCTTCATTGTCGTCACTCTCCATCTCGTCCTCGATGGCGGCCTGGAGGTCCCCGATCCTCTTGAAGGCCAGCTTGAGGTCCGCCTGCAGGCTCTGATTAGCAGCCTCTAAGCTCTCAATGTCCATTTCCTGATGAAAGAAATGGAGACTCAGCTGAAGATATTCGGATGGAAATTCTTATGCAGGCTCTCCTACAAGATCAGGAGTGACAATAAGGTTGTCCAAATATTCAGTACTTCATAACGTTTCTATACAACGTGTTTTCAAAGAAAACGTTTGATCTTTAGTCATATTCTTAACCAAAAAACAGCTGCAAGTAAAAGAGAAAGCAGCGGTGCTCCATTCAAATTCACAGGTCGGTAAAAGCGGATGTTTCTCTCGCCCTTTTGGAGTCTCTTAAAGATGCAAAGGTTATGTTTATGTCTCACACAAACAGACAGGCTGCGGAGGAGTTGACGTTGCCTTAATTGTACAACTAGTTGAAATGTTGCCAGCGTATTTGTAAAATTTAGACAGCATGAAGGAGTTTGCCTGCAGATATGAGTAACTAAAAACAAGAAATTACCTTATATTAAACTGCCTTTTTACAACAGTGGTATCAAACTTGTATCAACATTGTTTGAATTGGACTAGTATCTTATCAAAGTTTTAATCTCTGGTATCATCATGACAACCTCAGACTGCACTGCTGCTCATTGATAACACTCTGTAAATTCTCGGTCCAGTGCTCACCAGCTCGTGCTTCTTGCGGCTGGCCTCGGATTCCTTTTTGGCAAGCTCACTCGTCTCCTCCTTGATGTCTCGGATCTGTCTCTGCAGACGCTTGTTCTGCTCCTTCTCTCGGTTCTCGCTGCTGCTGCGCTGGTCTCGCTCCTCCGTCAGCTTCTCCAGGTTCTCCTTCAGACGAGCGACAAGGGTCTACACGGACAAAAAGAGGAGACAAGCTTTACTTACTGTGTGCAGAAAGGCAGTACGGTCCCTCAGTGGTGAAATGAACTAGCAAACTTGGCTTCATTTGTCGAATCCCCCCATTGTATTTTTTTTAGAAATCATATAAAGATCTACATCGAGGAGGGCATCAAAAATCTGAACTCAATACATTCCAATAAAAGCCTTAAATAAAATGAACAGTGCAGTTCTCAGAGTAAAGAAACAAGCGTAAACACTTCTCCAGTCAGAAATAAATCTTTTAATGAGCGTATTTCTATCAATAATGAATTGGAGTGGTGCAGCAGAATGTCTTCACACATGTTGGTTTTTAGTTGTGTTTTAGCAGGTGAGTCCTGTGTGAGTGTTTTTAAAGTTGTTGCGTGTGTATGAATGCCAGCAGCTCATTTCACCAGCGAGAGAGCTCCTGCATTAGCCACCAGCTCTGTCCATATTTTACATAGTGAGTGGGTGTTGTTCCGTGGCCTCCTCATGTCTGTATTGATTGAGCTCTGCTACCTCCAAGCTTTGACGAGCTACACTACTCCGGCAACCTGAAATATTCACTCACTGCGCTTTTTACCGCTGCCGAGGAGAAAAAAAAAAAAAAAACTCCACCCAAAGGCAGAAACAGTCTAACCCTTGTGTCTGTTTTCCTCAGCGTGCACATTTCACTACAGGCTGGCTATCTTTAAGATAAATAATAAAATGTATTTTGACTTTGTAGGGCATGGAGCAGAGGGAGGCTTGCCTGGCGGTGAGCACGCTGCACAGCTAGTAATTACTAAACTGAACCTGTGCAGAAAATGTGAGTGCGGGGTCATTTTATCTGTGGGCGAGAGAGGATTTCAATTTGTCCCCGGGAGCGTGCGGATGGTAACCTTTATCCTTCACTTGTGCTTTTTGTCTCAGGCAAAATCTGAAAGTAATTCTGAAAATGACAGAATAAAAAATGGTATTGTCAAGCGAGAGAAGAACAGGCTGGAGGACGAGGTGAAGCTGGAATGGTTTTATATAAATAAAAACCGGCAGTGTTTGGAGGTTTTACAGAGCTACAGTGTACATTCATATATGTTGTGTTTGTCGAGATGTTTTCTGTTTCTGCAGCTGAACCTTAACCCCCCCCCCAAGCAGTGAGCATCCCCCCCTGTCCAGCAGCCCCTCTGTGTGTCTTTAGCTCTCACCTCCAGGCGTTTGACCTGGGTCCTCTCAAACTCCAGCTTGGTCTCCAGCTCGCGGTTCTTCGCCTCCTGCCTGCTGACGAGAGACTTCTCCACCATGGACTGCTCCTGGAACTCCAGCTGGCTCTGAAGCGCTTGCATCTAAGAAAGAAAGAAACACACATTTAAAATCACTACACTTGTTAGTGGAATCAAATCTGAGCTCTTATTGTGTCACAAAAATCAGACATTGCGTCTTTAGGGTTTTGTCCCAACCAACTGATGATTTGTGCTTTTTGTAATTTTTCATTGACAACTCAAGATGCTCATCTCGTGATGCATTTAAGATGACATTGTTGCTTTGAAATAACAGAAGTTAACCTGTGAGACAATGTGTGTGTGTGTGTGTGTGTGAGAGTTGTATGTCTTTAAACTTTCTAGAAGTTTTAGGATTTTCCCTCACTCTCTATAGGACATGAGTCAGAGTCACATCATGTCCGTTGTTCAGGGTGGGGGCGGAGTGTAATCCCTCCCCCCCCCACCATCCTTCGCTGGCTTTAATTTGTCAGGTACATCTGTTTCTGATGGAGAAACAGATTCGTGCGGCAGCAGTCATTACGGGGATGACAGCACAAGCATGTTCAGCATTATTGCTCGGCTGAGTTGGGGAAACCAAGTCGGCCATCTGTGTCACATATTGCAGCAACAAATCCTGCTTGAATGACACATCAATTACATCAAGGGTTGTATTTGTCAAGAGAGCAGTGCAAAGGCAAAGCAAATGGACTGAGGCTGCACACTAATGCAAAACTGGATTCTTTGCTGGACGCTGCAAAGGAAACCCGAGAAACTTCCCAGGATGGTGAACGAGGGGAGGGCTGCAATCTGAACCTGTGTAAGTGATACTGGAACAAACTCACAGCAAACACATATTAGATTTTTCTAAGAATGTAGACATCTTAGTATTCTGTTGTGACTGCTCTCTAAGTACAAAACTTCAAGCAGAGATCTTTTCACAGTTCATATAAAAATGAGAAGGAAGGTGTCGGCCTTCATCTCGTTTATACTTTCCTGATCGAACGGTCCTCATTGTTCTTAACAGTTAAACGTACAATATGTAGAATTGTATGACAATGTTAAAATTAGAATATCTTAATTAATTAAAAATGCACTAAACCTATATTATATATATTTTCTTGTTGAGTACTAACATCACCTCAAATATTCCCAAGTTATCAAAGCCAGAGAAATACGTAATTTGATTGTTATAACTGGATGTTTCTTGTCGTGGCGGCTGCCATTACAGACCCACCAAGACTGAGAGAATGTTTATTGTTGCCGTGGAAACACGTCGAAGACCGCTGCATAAAGAAGCAGGAGCTGCTACTGAATGCGGCCGTACTGTTAGTGTACATGCTGCAGTGATAAAAAACGTCATGTAAATAATATTCAGATACATCGTCTGTATCCACATTCTCTTCCTCGGGTCGGTTTCGCCCGGTCGTCTTTAGAACTCCCATGATTCCCCGCCAGCCTCGACGTCATCTTTGTTATTGTAGTATTGATTTAGAGCCACGGAATCTCTACATTGTATCTTTTATTTCCCTCTTTTATGATCTTTTGATAGGTAGATTTTTTTAGGGAAAGAATTAACTCGGCAACACAAAGAAGATCAGGGGCAAATTTTTGTTAAATTGATAAACATTTTCTACCTTCTCCTGGACCTCCTGCTTCTCCTTGAGGGCCTCCTCCAGCTGGGCCTGAAGGTCGCTGATCTGAGCCAGGTTCTGAGCCGACTGAAAAACAGCAAAGAAAAGTCATTTTTTAAAAGTACTTCCTCCATTAGTAAGTCTGCAGTCAACACAAACCTGAACTGTGGAAGCCTGAACAGATAAATCTAAGTCCATTAGGTGTAAAAAATCAAGCAGATCCAGTAAAACATGATGACATCACAGTGACATTACCTCGCCAAATAAATTTACTGGAGAGATTTTTTAAAGCGCTGAGAGCACATCAATAAATCTCATTTCAATGTGACCTGTGTGAAATGTTTGAAACGAGTGTTTTTCTTTTTACAGCAGATGAAGCACTCTGCTGCAACGAGTCCCACCGGGAATTCAGCCGCTTCAATTTAAAAGGAGAAGGATGGATTCATTTGGAGCCGGCGGAGGCAGATCACTCATCATACCATCAGCGCGGTGGAAAAGGAAAACGCTTTCACTCCACTTTCATTTCCACTTGCTGCTCATCTGCCTGTACAGCTACATTAATACTAATGCTCCGAGCTCGACAAATACCCCCGCTGCTCTAAAACCACTCAATTGGCGAGGATGGATGGTGTTAAAACAATCCGATGTAAAGCTTGATTCTGGATTTTTACATTTTATAAATGAACCTGGGATTACTTTTTTGTAATGATGGAGAGGCGGTTAGGATAGATGATACATACAGGGAGAATATTGCTTTTTAATAAAAATTATACTCCAGCAGGTCGGATCCTTCAGTCGGAATCAGCTGAAGAATTCATCAATAATGCTCCAGTTGTGGATGAGAAGCTTTAAAAGCTCCCTGTGGAGTTTAAGAAAATCTTCATCACCACAGAGCGTCACAAAGAGTCACGCCTTGTCCTTATCATCCTGAATGCATGTATATAAAAATCGAGATTCCTGTCTTCTGAGATTTTAAATAGATTCATAACTTCCAAAAATCTATTTATTTTTGTTGTCTGATCAGGTCTACGTGAGTATCTGCACAATGTGTCTGATATAGACTCAGAGATATAAATCCCACCTGGGCCACGGCAGCTTTGTGTTTCTTCATCAGCTCGTTCAGGTCCTCCTGGTCCTCCTCCATCCTGGACTGCAGGTCGTTCTTCTCCCTCTGCAGACGACTCAGCTGCTCCTCCAGCTGAGGAACACAGAAAAAAAAAAAATTCCTTTTTAAATAGATCCACCAGCTGTGTTTTCACAGCGTTGGACTAAATTAGACACGAGAAGGCAGCTGCTTCTCCAATTAAACCCCCAAAATATCAGAGAGGAGAAATCCAACACACAGAGTCTGTGCTGCAAATACTTGAGTTATTAAGATAACTAATGAGGATTCTCAAGGCAGGTCCTGCATAAAATACACATTTAAAAGTGAGTCTTGATGCCTTTTCAAATGTTTAACTTTTTTATGTTGCATGCATGCATATCAGAATTACTACATCCCACCATAAGTGTAGTAAGAATTAGAAGTGATTGAAAAATGCACAAGTAAACAGAATTTCTTTGCCCCCTAGTGAGACTGTATAGATTCTTTCTTTGCACTAACTCCATAAATGTGTGTAAAATGGGTCTAAATTGTCACAGTCTCGATCTGTGCTTCTCTATGCAGAGCAGAGGAGAGCCCTTATTAACTCCTCCACAGCCCCCGCTCACATCACAGAGCCCGGCAGCCGTTGTTTCAGGCCCCAGTCATCCAATCACATGGATCCAATTAGCTGCTAAAAGCTGGCGGTGACTGCGTCACACCTCCAGCTGAAAGCAGGGTCGGTGCTGAAGTAATCCTGTTTCAGTAATGACTCAGATGATGCACAAAAAGAGGGTGAGGGGTTTCAGGTGGAGGGCGACAGATTAATAAATGATGACTAAACGTGACTGTGTGAAAGGGCTAATGAATACATTTGCACTTAGAGGCAGGATGAGAGAGTTGGGGACAGGCAGAGGTGAGACATCCGGAAGTAGTCAACCAATCAAACGAAAGCTGCCAAAGATATTTATTCTTAATCTATTTTTATAAACACCTCCCACTGATGAGATGTTCCAAGGTGTACTTGAGTATCTAAATATATCTATGTGGAATCTGGGGCGGATTCATTTACATATTACACTTTCCTTTTTTAGATCCACCGTTGACCTCGCCGAGCGCTCAGGAAAAAGCTTTTGAACGCAGCGCCGTCTCTGCAGCTCGGGGAAAATGTTTGACAGTCTGCAGCATCAAACTTTCATTTAGCACATTTAACAATAGGCTGTCTGTGCAATCTCAACCCAATTACGTGTCCTGGCTCTTTGTTTTTCGCCTTCCCCCCCCCCCTCGGATCACCGCGGCTCTCAGCAGGAAAATAAAGCTGTCGAAAACATGCGGGACAATTTCCTCAAAACACTGCAATTACGGCGATGGAACGGCGGGGGAATGGGGGGAGGGGGGGGACGGGGGGGGGACAGCAGACCATCTGAAAGAAATGTTATTTGCATGATTTTATTTGTGTTGAATTGCAGAGGATGATGTGACCGGTGCTGCCTCAAAAAGCCCTCCATTTATGCAATAACCGTTCCTGTCATCAGCGCGTGCGGGCGTCTGCTGATGGGAGATGTAGAGGTCGTCCTCAAAGACACATGGCCAACCGAACAGCTGCTGACGCATTTGTCTTCTCCCTGCTACACCCTCTTTATAACTCTGACTCCATAGTTAAGATGCATTTTCTTTACACGACGCTTCTGCTCGTTTGTCTTGGTAGTTTTTACTTCACTCTATGTTGCATTAGAGTACAAAAAGATGGATGTTAATAATATTGAATCTCCTGAAAAGAACAAGCTGAACGAAATCTGAATTTATTTATATTTTCTAGAACCTTTTAAAGCCTTTGTTGGAGAGACAGGACAGCGGACAGTAAGAGACCGGGAGAGAGAGAGAATGAGGAATGACATGAGGGAAAAGAGCAACAGGCTGGATTTGAACCCGGTCGGCCCTCGATAACTACAGCCTCGGTACATAGGAATGCATGAATTAACCACTCAGGCACTGCACCCGATAAAACAATACATTTAGGATAAATCATTTTTACTCAGTAGATAATAACAGGCAGCAAACGGAAAAAAGCTCCAGCTGTGACAAGTTAGAGTTCACCAGTTCTTCCGAGGTAAGATGTGACATAAAAATAAAAACGGACGAAGCGGACGAAGCAACAGAATTGGCTCCACGATGCTATAATTAAGATATACCGGTAAGTCTTTATATCAATGCTACGTGTAGAGCGGACAATAACATACTGACGATCAGAAAATGTAATGCAGCCGTTTAACTACACACAGTATGTAAACTTCACTCCCCCTCCTGTTGGCTTGAGGGTGAATTCTCCGGAGAATATCCTGCTGCGTTCTCACATCGACTCACTCGGACTAGCTGCAGATAAAAATACTAGGGGGGGTCTGTTAGGAGAAACTCTGGGTGAAGTACGAACGAAAAATGTGGCTGTTTGCGTCCATACATACAGCTCTCTCCTCCTGGAAATATCCAGAGTTTTTCAAGAGTTTTCTGCAAGTGTGGAAGCCCTATGAGTCATCTAGACTCTAAAACCTGGAAAAAAACGACTTTAGAAGCTTGTTTTTTTATGTCAGAGCACATTTAAAAAAAAAAAAAAAAGAAGCCATATTTTAAGACAAGAGAAGGTTGCCACATTTTTTGCTAATTGAAAAAATAAATCCATTTTACAGCCTCTTTAAATTTAGAAGCTTAAAAAAGAGGGGGGTGAAAACATCAAGTTGAGGGAATGTAAAAGTCATGCAGACATTTACCCCGATCCATCTCTCCCCTCCATGCCTGTTTGCCGAGTCTCTGCTTCTGACCCACAGCTGTGTCAACTCAATTATCTTCACCCTTCACTTCACTTTGGACATAATATTCACCTTCCCAAAAATACGCAGTCAAACTTCTCAAGGTGACGAGGTGTCTTATTTAAATTAGGCTCAGCAAATTGCTCCAACCAGTTTGAACATTCAGTGATTTCTCATTTACAGACAGGAGGGGAGAGAGAGAGAGAGAGCAGGAGGAGATTAAAGCTCTCTGACACGCAGAGGGTAAAGAAAGATGGAGGGTAAATTAACGGCAGGAGAAATGTGCGAGCAGAAAAGAAAAAGGAAGAAGAAATAAGAGGCATTTTGAGCGACATGTGGTAGCAGATTGCCATGGGAACAGGGCTTTAAGTAAGAAAAGCCATGCCAAAAGGACAGAAAAATATAAAGGTCAGAAAAGATTAGGAGATTCTTGAGATAGAGACAGTAGATACTTTATTTTTAGGAATATATAGAAAGAAAAGAGGTGACATAAAGATGGACGTATTGATGGAATATAAAGTACTCAGTGTTTTTGCAGAGAAATAAGAAAGATCAGACCCTGGAGAGTTGGAAAAGAACGATAAAAGAAGCAAGAAAATGAAGAAGAGAGGGAGTAAGAGAAGGACGGAGGACGAGCTCAGAGGGAACAGATGTGTCCTCTAACCCCTTATCTCTGGCTGAAGGCGATGATTTGACATTTCTACCGCCGCTCTGCTACCGCCACAGATGGTGCAGGCTTATAAAAAGGCTCAAAAAACACAACCTGCGTGGTCACAACTGATGATCACTCCCATATGATGTGACAGATTTAGGTTTTTTTCCCTTCTTTTCAACGATACGCACTAAACTTCATCATAAAGTCGATGGGGCTGCCACATGTGGTCGTGTCACTGGAGGAAAGTTTTTAGAAACACAGCTTTTTAAAGATGAGAGGAGGAGGAGGAGGAGGAGGAGGAGTTTTGTACTGACCGCCTGTTTGGTTTTGGAAATGTCCTCCATCTGAATGTGCAGATCTTCTATCTCCACCTCCATGGACTTGCGAGATTTCACTGCGGCCGCACAGGTAAACTCAGACTCCTCCAGCTGGAACAGACACAGAAAAGAAGCTGAATACACTATTTCATATGTGAGAGTCATACCAGAGGCCATTTGTTAAAGTTGCAGCTGATGGTATTTAAGTGATTGAGAACCAGCAGTCGTACCTGGTTCTTGAGCTGGGCGATCTCCCTCTTGCTGGGCGCGTTGTTCTTGATGTGGTCCAACATGATCTGAGCGTCAGCGAGCAGAGCTTTGGTTCTCTTCAGGTCCTTCCTCAGACGCTTCTCCGTCTCTACGTCGCCTCCTCTCACCTGGAAAACACAAAGTACAGGGAGGCTTCCTCACTCGACATGTTATGACAGTCTACATCTTCCAATTTGTTTACTGCATCGAAGTATCAGCCCACGAAGTTCCTACAAATACATGTGAGTCTAATTTAAATGGTAAATGGACTTGAGCTTGTATAGCTCTTTTCTAGTCTTCTGATTACTCAAAGTGCTTTTACACCGCATGTCACACCTACACATTCACACACTGATGGTGGAGACTGTGTGAAGTGACCATCAGAAGTAACTAATCCATTCTTACACTTTCACACACTGCAGCCGAAGCACCTTGCGGGTTAAGTGTCTTCCCCATGGACACGTCGTACATGTGGCTCCAGGAACTGGGGATCGAACCCCCGACCTTCCGTTTGATTCGATTGATTCTACCAACTGAGCCACGCCATTTACACGATCAATATCGGGTTTTGACTTCCAGATCTAACATTATATTACAGTGTTTCTTTTCCTTCAAAGAAAGGTATTTTATCCCCCAATAGTATGAATAATAGAAACTTAAAAAGTATCAGAAAACATACAAAAAGTCAGTTTAGTCATATGTCCGTTAGTTTTATTATTTAAGTGTGTTTTATTACTTAACATTAAGTGTGTTATCGACTCCTACTAAAATGTATAAAACAAACTCTGCCAGTATTTAAGTTGTGTAGGGAGACGTTCCGACTGTCCGGCTGAATCAATCTGAAAATAAAAACTCAGAATCCCGGATTCACAAAATAATCAAGACTAAACAGCCTATGCCTGTCGAAGGTGGCTATGCTGTTTTAGTTGCCGTGGAAACAAAGGGCCATAAGGTAGGTAATGTAACTCATCAGCAGCACATAGGGGCCTAATTGGGACGAGGAATGTCTTTATTGAGCGTTTAACCCTTTCATTAAGACATAAGTATTACCTTGTGTTTATTTTAAAAGAAATTGTAAAAAAAAACACACTTGATGATTCACCAGAGGAGTGGGAAGAAGTATACACTTATCAAATCCCACCCCTTCTATATAAGCCTTGATTAACACCTATCCAGCTTATTACAGTCTGCAGTGAGGATAGGAAAGTTAGCAAAATAAAATCTTTTTTTTTATAGAAGACACTGGATGTTACAGTAAAGTATTCTGACAGTTTGCAGAAGGCCTCATCTCAATGTGTTGGACCTCAGTTTGAACTGGATCGACTCTGCTGACTCTCGTTGACCCAGTCGGCAGTCAGATATATATATGAGACTGAGTCAGACTAAATGAGTCACTCCAATCATTTCAGAGCCCACATCTCCTCCCACACAACTCAGCGGCTGTGAAACTGAAACTTTGGACCAAATTTAATTATCATCCTCCCTGCACACATCACATATACAGATACATAGATCAATGTCTCTATCATTTCAAAATCATTCTATATTTACATTAATAACTGGATGTATTAATAACTTTGGTAGCTGTGGATCAGTGGTAGAGTCGGTTGTCTCTCAACTGGAAGGTCGGGGGTTCGATCCCCAGTTCCTGCAGCCACATGTCCGATGAGAACAAGACACGTCACCTCAATTCGCTCCGCTGCTTTGACAGCATGTGTATGAATGGGATTAGTTACTTCTGATGGACTCTTTACACAGCAGTCTCTACCATCAGTGTGTGAATGTGTGGGTGTGACCTGCGGTGTAAAAGCGATTAGAGGTGAAGACTAGCAAAGCAATATACAAGCTCAAGTCCGTTTAGTATTTATCTTTTATCTGGAGTTTACCCCCCTGAGCTTCATCTAGAAGGAAGCTGCAGGAAATATCATAGTTGAGAGATATGCTTTTTTTATTTTCATTCATAGTCTGTATACAAAAGATGGACAACATGAAAGCTCCCCAAAACTGAAGACAAAGAACTTGGAGCGCCCCCTGTTGACTGGCGGTCATCAGCTCCGCCTCCTCTATGTTAGCAGATTTAAAATGGGCTAAACTATAAAATAAAAATACACATCAAAGTAAATTCTTTCTTAGAGGATTATTTAATAAGATATTTGAAGCTAGAAATAAAAGTTGAATGCCATGATTGACAGCTCTGTTGACAAATGAGGCTCGAGCAGCGCTGTGTGCACCAGATTATCAGCGTTGAGGAGGAGCGTTGAGAGAAAACGTAACAGACACGAGACAGGGGTCATTGAACTTTCTTTAACCGTGAATGTCTGCTTCAGACACACAATACTCTCTTGCTGTGGACTGTAACCAGGGGAGAGATCTTGGAGGTGTTATCAGTGAGTTAAATGTGTGTTTTTGGTCAGAGCCAGGGGTCAGGACATCTATCTTTATTTACAGTCACTGGTTTCAATACAGAGCACAGATTTGTCCTGCTGTGTGAGGTGTAGTTACCTTATCCTGTGCAGTCAGGAGCTTTGACTCAATCTCTCTCTTCTCCTTCAGCACCTTCTGCTTCTCGTCGTACTCCTCCTCCAGCTGGACTTCAATCTGCTTCAGCTGGAAACACACAGAAAAAGAACACACGTAGAAATCAGATTAATCAGCTCGGACAGAAGTAGAGAAATGGACGCGCCTTTCACAGTAAAATGTAGATTTCAGATGTGTTCTTAAGAAGTCTGAAACCATCGACCGATTTGTGTAAGTGGCCCTGAAGACTTCTTGGTTGACAGATAAAACGAGGTGTGCAGCGTTTACATTCTTCTAATCAAATTAGCTTTAAAAACAGATCGATTCGAATACTGCTAACTTTTTATTTATATTTCCATATACTCTGAATATAGCTTTTAAAAATGCTAACACAGCCAGACATAAAGTTTGAAGTTTCCACAAACGGTCCTAAAGGGCACATCAGCATAATCCATCATCAAACAATATATATATATATGTATGTAAATGTCTGTGTTAGATGCATTGCAGAGGCCGTGATCCCATCCTGTGTAAGTGTAGAGAAAGCTAATTATACGTGGGCTAAGGCCATTATGGGGGGAAGGGGGGGGGATTAACCTCAGTGATAACTATCAAGCTAAATATTCTTACAAAACACCCACTCAGACACCCACACATTAGCAAACACAAACAGCCCTCTGCTCCACTGCGTGTCAAACATACTGATATCATTTAGACACTTATTAGAGCCAATGAGCTTTCATTAAAAAAACAAATGGGACTCATGGAAAAGTCAAATCATTCAGATTGAGGTTAGGGGTGTGCTATCAACTTTACAAAAATACTGTATGTTGCATTCTAAATTAACGCTGTGATCCCCATGAACAGAAGCAGGTCAGGAGAGGGATTACCATTACAAGTCAGCTTTAAACACACTTACATAGAACTAATTAAACGGAATAATTGAATATACTGGAAATGCTATCTCAACCCAACTTTCTATCAATTTAAAAACAGGCAAATGGGGCAAAGGAGCCTTAAGACTCCTGGGAAACAAACCCAACACGCCCACTCGTCAATCAAATCACCCACACTCTCAGTTATGCAAATGATGCTTAGCTCTTGTAAATAACTCCTAACATAAATAACTTATATAATATATATATATATATATACACACACACACACACACACACACACACACACACACACACACACACACACACACACACACACACACACACACACCACACACACACACACACACACACACACACACACACACACACACACACACACACACACACACACACACACACACACACACACACACACACACACACACACACACACACACACACACACACACACACACACACACACACACACACATACTGATTTATCTCTATAGACTGTATGGTTATCTCCAGCAGCATAACTTCTGATCGTTTTTGTTAGTCTTATCTTTTTAAGTATTTACCTGTAAGGGACTTTATGTGAAGTGTAGTGTTTTATTTTTATTTTTTGTAGTGTTATTTTCCATTGTTAAGGTGTTTTCATTGTCTCGTTGTTCTTCCTCTGTCATATTAAAAATATGCCCGCTCCTCCCTCACATCACACCAGAATAATGTGAACGCTGAAGCTAAATCAGCCGTGTGCGTGTGATAAACCTGGTTACCTTCTTGCTGCAGGACTGTCGGATCTCCTCCACCTCGTCATCTTTGCTCTCGATCTCTTTGGAGTGTGTTTGACGCAGGCGCTCCATCTCCATCTCCAGACGCAGCTTGGCCTGAAAGAAAAAATAAAAACACGGTACGCCGCGCTGTCATCGTGGCTCAAACCAACGCTGCTGATTTCCAACCTTATTTCAATACATTATTCATGGGCGAGTGTGTGTCCATGCTACTCGCTGGTGTTTCTTTACTCTGCTAATAGGCTCTGACATCTACTCAGAGTGCATGGAGAGCAGGGAGGTAGATAAAAAAAAAAACTCAGCTTTTCTCCTTTCCTGTCCGTTAGAATCACCACAGCTTGGGCTGCTGCGTCGTTTCACAACAGCTTTTATACACTAAAAACCAAAGTATCCACATTACGCTCTGTTTGAATAATATTACAGTCCCAACCCAAAGTCACCTAACACCAAATGGCCTTCATTTGATAGGACAGTGGATAGAGTAGGACATGGCATGAGGGAAAGAAGCCACAGGCCGGACTTTAATCTGGACTGCCTATTTGGAGGACTATAGCCTCCGTACATGGGACGCGATCTAACTGCGAGGCCATCAGCGCTCCAACCCAAACATTTTTTTTGACTCTTTTTCATCTGTAGTTAAATATCCTGAAACTCTGAGATTTTATCTCAAACTGCTCAAACATAACAATTAAGTTACACTCTATTTTCAGTTCAGTGTGTATATCATAAAGTCACTAATACGGCCATGTTTTAGGTCTAAATTGTATCATCTGTCAAACTTTAATGTCTGACATTAAAGATTATTCTGCAGTAGTCAATAATTATAGCTCCCATCTGTGTGCACCAACGTGCTGGTGATGCTGTGAATGTGGTGATTATTGTAAAGATTGATTTGTGTTCCTCCTTAGATATATTTAAATGAACAAAAGAAGAGAGTAAACTTTGAAATACAATTCATCAGTGTGACACAAAAGCTGAAGAACTTTGTCTGTAAATTTTGTTTTGTCTTAAATGACCAATAAGCAGCCTAAATGTTGTTATTCATTTCCTGTGAGTGTAACACTGTGCCTTGTCTGTACCTGCTCCAACATCTGGATGGTGCCGGCCTGCTCGTCCAGCTCCTCCTCCTGGTCCTTCACCTTGGCTTCAATGTCCCTAAGCTGCTTCCTCACCTGGAAAAAAATAGCACAAAAGTAGCAACAAAATGAAAAAAGTGCCCGGTTTAAGCATAATGTATTCAATACAGAAAGATTTATTCCTCTAAACAGGCAGAGGGAAAGGTGTTTTTTTTCATAGTTGGTTTGTTTGTGTATTATAAACTGAGTGCAGCCCTAACATAAAGAATCCTGCAAGTTTTACATTATCACAGAAAAAAAGGACACAGCAATACATTTGATAAAACCCTAAGAGGGATTATAGAAGAGAGAAAAAAAGGAAGTAGACCTTGGCCAGCGACGCCTCATCCTTGTACTCCTGGGAGTTGAGGTCCTGCAGCTCGGCCTCCAGCTGGTCCACCTTCAGGTTGACCGCACACACCTCCAGGTCTTTGTCCTGCAGGAGAGAGCAGACAGGAGGAGGAGACGGCGTGAGCGTGGAACAGAAACACACACACACACACACGATGAGGGAAGGCGGGGCTGTATTTACCCAGATCAGCAGGTAGCTACAAGGTGTACAAACACAAACCCGTACACAGAACAATACATCCACAACCTGGCCTCGTAATTACAAACTCCTGCTGCGTGGACCGACACAGAACAAATGTGCAGAACTTAATTATGCATGTTATCCATCTTTGATAAAAATAATAATTATGGGATTTGAAGGCAGTTTACACAAAAGTGTATTCAGCTTGTGTGTACATTGTTGGCTGAATCACACAATGTAACCACAGCTTAATACACTCAAACTTTAACGCATTGCATGAACTATACTATATTCAAAAATGTAACCAAGTGTCAGAAAACTATTTCAAAGTTAAAGTGCATTTGTTCGTTTATGTTTTTATGTGTCTGGATGCAGGATTTACATTTGTACTGCGGTAAAGGTTTAAACTGTTAACTGAAAATGTGTATTAAATGGTTGCTGTGGCTACTTAGCGAAACCTAATGTTAGCAGGGGATGGTTTAAATGTTAGCTCCTGTGACTTAATTAAGAGATTTTACAGATATACTGTTTTAAACACTCATCCACTACCAACCGATATTCAGCACACATTCTTTCTTAAAGCTTGCTGACATCATTATCCAGGAATTAATACCTCTCCTTTAATATCATGTAAAGGTAATGTGAGCTAGAAGGTGGAGTGAAGTTTTGAAAAATGGCCCAATCTCAGAAAGCTTTCCAAATTGATTTATGTTTTAGGATGTGGGCCAATCAAGAAGTGGTAAAAATAACAGTATTTGTCCAACATTTTGAGACTTTCAAACCTGAAACACGCCCTTACATCATTCTGACAGCCTTTGAGCGACCTGCCCTTAACATGACATCAGAAGAAAATGGCCAACAAGTGATGTGAAAATATTGGCCATAGTGAAAATATTTTGTATCACATTTGATACTGGAATAAGAATGGATATATAAAAGAACAGTACTGAAAAGAAAACCCTTCCATCACCATAGTTAATCTGTATGTTGTAACAATAATGCAGAAACAATAAAAACATCTTAAAGTGTTTGACACAAACTGTACAACACAGACACAAACCTCCAGCTGCTGTCGGAGGCTGAAGGCGTCCCCGCTCAGCATGTCTTTCTCTCGGGCCAGTTTCTCCCTCAGGCTCCTCTCCCTCTGCACCTCCTCCTGCGCCGCACTCAGCTCGCTGTCAAACCTGCACGCATGAACACACACTGCGCTGATTAACACCGTCACAACACTCCGACGAAGCTACAACAACTGTGAGCAGCAGACATCGTCGGGTGGAAGTTCATGAACAGAGCAAATGACTTCAAATGTGCTGAGACGTGTGAAGATCCTTCATGTCAAGACTGTTTTAACTACAGCATGCATATTCACAGGGCAGGACACACACACACACACACACACACACACACACACACACACACACACACACACACACACACACACACACACACACACACACACACACACACACACACACACAACACACACACACACCACACACACACACACACACACACACACACACACACACACACACACACACACACACACACACACACACACACACACACACACACACACACACACACACACACACACACACACACACACACACACACACACACACACACACACACACACAAGTTTATCTGCAGAATAAATGAGCTGGAGACTCGTCTGCACAGCATGATGCTATAAACAATCTGGAGCACAAAACACGTTTTCTTTACAGTTCTTCTTGTTACTACAGCAACACCACTGGACCTTGCACAGTGCACAGGAACAGCACACAATGAGGTAATGCAAGTGTGTGAAGTCACGTGCATCCACAGACATAGTGTGTGTGTGTGTGTGTGTGTGTGTGTTTTATTTGTTTTTTTTTACTGACTTCCTCTGCTTCTTCTCCAGGTCGTGGTTGCGGCTCTGTTGGCCCTCCAGATGGAGTTTGGTGTCCTGCAGCTCAGACGTCAGTCGTTGGGTTTTCTTCTTCAGCTGCTGGACGTTTCTCTGAGACTCCTCGTTATCGGCCTGCAGGTCGCTGATCTGCACAAGACATACAAATCAGACAATTCAGAAGTGGAATGTTTTTAATGAGTGAAAATACACAGGTATTTATATCAGTTGAAGTTCTAACAAGCTGAGAGACGTCCAGGCAGTCTTTGTAAAAGTGAAACTATGGGGAAACTAACCATGTCAGCCTCACACATGATACCAACAACAACAACAATAAAACTTTTAATTATGATATGATGTGATCAGTATCGGCATCTGTACATACTAAATGTTTCGAGATCAGAACAGAACTGAAAAAAATTGCATTGGTGCATCTCAACAGCTAAGAATTAAATATACATTTTTGACCTCCTGGAAGGCATCTGACCTGACCTACATTCAACATACAAACATTTGAAAAGTTATTTTCTTCTCCTCTTGATGACAGACATGACCAAGCTTTTATGAGGTTTTAAAAATCTGCATCATGACGTTGTTATTCTGGCAAAGGATGTTTTTGGGGCTCATACAGCTGAAGTCAGCCTTAGTGATGCCCACACATATGTAACACAACAAACAGTCTATGATTGAGAAATGACGGCTTTAACGTTTCAAATGTAAACACCGCACAGAACAGGAAGTATTGTCTGGAAGTTGTCTGCATGTAACACCTGAAATTACTAAAAAAATTGCCATCCGTTCCAAGAGGCACACCTCGTGTATAAGACGGTGGTGGAGGATTATTGCAGATGGGCTCTGAGAACAGTAATGACTGAGAAATAGATTCATAATGGGCGTTGTGTGTATCAGTGAAAGTGTCTGCGGCGTGTCCGCTCACCCTCCTCTCCAGCTGCCGTTTGTTCTGCTGCTCCACCTCCAGCTTGTCATCAAACTCCTGCTGCAGCCTCTTCTTGGTGAACTCGATCTCTCTGATGGCTCGTTCGTACTTCAGCCTCCATTCTCCTCCTGTCACAGCGGCACATCACAGTCACCGCCTCACTCACTGACTTTGTGAAACCTTTGTATGTATCTTTGTGTCTTAGATCGTCACATGTGCAAAGTTCTAATCATTTCCATTATTTCAGATTCCGTTACTTTAGTAAGTCCGTTCCGATACTCTCTGCCATTAAAACCGCTTTGACGATTCAGAAAAAAACATGCATCAACGTGAAGCTCCAAGCCTGACATAAAAAGTGTTATTTCCCCTCAGTCAAAGCTCTGCCAGAGTACAAACAAGAGAATGTGTTCCCACCTATGCAACATGAATGAAGACACTTGGAGAAATCGATGGTACATTCACACAGTGTGCAGGCCACACAAAGACAGCTGGCAGCCTGCCTGCGGGGCGTCTCACTCACTTCATTTTTCACTTTTAACTGATCCATTTCTAATGTACTTCTTCACATCGCATTTTTCACCGCTTTTGTCAAAGCATCGATCTTGCAAACCCCCTCCTCTCTCCCTCCTGCAGCTCCTCTGAGGAGCTCACTCTGGGCTTTTCTAACAACCCGGGAGTGAGTGAGTACTACCCTAACGTCCGCGCGTGAGAGGGATTGTGTTCACACTGGAAGTGGACAAAAAAAAAAAAAAAAACACACAGAACAAGTTTGAGGAAGACTTTGTGAGACTGTCGGAGGATTCATGAAAGAAACAGAGTGGGATTTTTCTGGCACAACTTCACCAACTACCAAGGTGCATGGAGAGTGAAAGAGGTCAAAAAGCTCGTAGTATGAACACTTGTAGTATGAAGATCAACTTTATTAACAACCTAGAACTTCAAAGTCATCAAGCAACCATGATGAAGGCCACAAGAGGATGCAGTGCCTGTTTTTATAATCCAAAGCCTCCATGTCTCTTGATATCAAAAATCGATCTTTCGCTAAAATACCCACACAGGTGTGTTGGACATCTGCATATGACAGTTACAATCTCACCTCCAGCTCTCACTGAAGAATACACAACCCGTGTTGTCAGCGTCTCCCCAGACAATTCTTTACCCAAAACTTTTTTTTTTTTACGTTTCTTCCTCTCAGCACAAATCATCATAATCCTGATTTAACCGCCGGCTCCATTGTTTACTTGAGGTCACGTGAGGTGGTGCGTTCCTCCGCCAGGCACTTTAATCTTAAGTAAATTCTGTAGAATGTGATGTGCAAAGATCTTCACGTGTTAGAGTCAGCATATAACAAGAATATCTGTTAGGATTCTTAGGATGTGTGTGATGCTACTCGAAATCAAAATCTGGAAGGATTTTAAAACTCCTGCAGTGTGAGCCCGGCTTTAGTGTGTACAATACCCTTATCTGTAGTATACATTTAATCTTATTCTAAAATTAGTCATTTCCAACAAGTTCATGTTTTTAGGTTTGTAGTCTTTATATGTGTAACTTTGAACTCAGCAGATGAAATAAATCATCAGTCTGTTGAGTTTTGTCTTGAGAAACGTTCTGTGGGAATACAACAAAAGAACTGCCGGTATGTTTTAATTCAACACAATTGCAGTTGCACATTTTGTGTAAACATCAGTGTGATGGAGTACACTGTTCTTAAGTTTCTCCTCCTACACACCTTTTTGTTTTATTTTTTTCTATTAGGTGATGCAGAACAATACAAGACAAGTGAGGGACATGACAAGAGCAAAAGTATGTAGGAGACAGGGGAGACACGACGATACAATGCACAGCATAGACAAAGACAAGACAAAACAGGCAAGCAGGGAGTAATAATAACGTTATGCAATTTTGTATGTTGAGGGTGTTGAAGGGCCCTGCTTGTGTGTGTCTGTGTAATTTGAGTGTATGCTTGTATTTTTTTATTTTTTTCTACACACCTTTAACAACACATCCATCACTCAGGACGATCAGAACACGCCCACACACAATCGTGAGGAGACATTTCATCGGCCTCACACCTGTGTGGGCGTGTGGCAGCTTCAGCAGTTTAAGAAGACAATGACAAATATGCAAAGTCTCCCTGGATTGGTTATAATGTCCGTGTGTGTGTGTGTGTGTGTGTGTGTGTGTGTGTGTGTGTGTGTGTGTGTGTGTGTGTGTGTGTGTGTGTGTGTGTGTGTGTGTGTGTGTGTGTGTGTATGTGTCGGACCTGTGTCGTCGTCGTCCATCTCTCCGTTGAGCTCGGACGCCCGGATGAGTCGGGCCTCCATCACCTCCATCTCCATGGACTCCATCTGTTTCGCCGTGCTGTCAAACTTCGCCTGGTAGGAGATGAGAGGAAGGGAGAGGTCTCTGTGATGGCGGGGTTTTTAATGAGTTTGCACATCATCTCACACACACACACAAGTCGTAGGAAACCACAAAGGGATATTTGGTTTGTGGTCGATGTGTCTTTTGACTGAGTGTCTTCAGGTGTAACTTTGGTAAGGGACGCTCTGCTGCAAAATAAGACACTTGTGACCCTCAGTATATCATTATTATAAATGCTCTTATTATCATTGTTGTTATTTGTGAGGAAAAATTGTACAAATGCATTTTTTGCAGAAACATGTGATGTTATAGACAGAAAAAGCTCTGCACCTTCTTAAGTGATCATTTAAACAAACTGTAAAGAGATAACTAAGGTGAAATATTTTCCTCATGCTGTCATGATTCAGGATCAGGATCAGCGGTGCCTGCTGTTTGATTGCATAATTTGATGTCAATTGCTTAATTGCACCTCGCAGCACACCAGCGTGGAAGCATCTGGATTCATTATTTTTCTCTCCTCATTGATTCCAGTTTTGCCCTTTCATTCATCACCTGTCTTTATTTATATTCCTTTAACAACTGATGTCTTATATTTCCTGAAGACACACAGACAGAACATTTGTTTTCCAATGAATCCACATCCTAAAAAAAGATGGTGGATTCTTTTCTTCATCTTTTTAAAAGATGTCTTTTTAAACAATGGCCGCCTCAGGAGAAAACAAACCCTCCTCTGCTCATTTCCGCATGAACACAGCAGAACAGACGAACAAATGAAAGGCCTCACACCTGCACACCGGGGTTTGTTGTTACAGGTGAGAAACTCATTTACACGGTGATGTTTGCAGCCCAGCAGGCAGCTCTCCCGCTGCGGAGCACAAACACACCTGCACCTTTACATGGAAATAAACTACAGAACGTAATTCAAGAGTTTATGTTTGAGCATACAGAGAACTTTAACTATATTACAGTTTAGGGGAAATAACTTTTTTTTTTTTTTTTAAGATTTATTTTTAGGCTTTTTTGTGCCTTTAATGAAGAGATAGGACAGTGGATAGAGTTGAAAATCAGAGCGAGAGAGTAGGGAATGACATGCTGGAAAGAAGCCACAGGTGGGACTCGAACCTGGGCCGCCCGCTTGGAAGACCACATCCTCCGTACATGGGGCGTGCGCACTAAACACTGCGCCACCAGCACCCCAGGGGAAATTACTTTTACACTCTGTTATTGAGACATGCTACACACACACAAGACGAGCCCCCTCCCTCTGAGAGATGTCAGAGTGAGGGGCTGCACGTGAAAACGGGCCCGGAGGAGTTAAATGCCTTGCTCACGGGCACCTCGGCAGTGCTCAGGAAGTGAACTGGCACCTCTCCAGCTACCAGACCATTTTCCAGGCTTGGTCTGCATCGGGACTTGAACCAACGACCTTCAAATTCGCAGCCTAAGTCCTTACAGCCTGAGCTTCTGCCACCCCGGGTTTGACACAAAGTCTGTGATAAGATTCCTTTGGTTGTCACCTTTGCTCCCCTTTAACAGACGGATACATTTCACTGTGTTTCTTTCTGGTCTCACCAGAGTCTAAGGTTATTCTTCTTCAAATTTACAGGTAAACTGTCTTGTCTTGAGAAATCAGCAATGTCTAGAACATACTTTTATCGCCAAGCACGAACTGATTTTTCCTTCCTCAACCCTTAATGCAGAATGTTGTTTCTTTTAAAAAGAATTGCAATTTCTCAGTCTTTTTGTCGTTTGCAGATGATCTGATGACCTGCATGTTTTATTTGGCTGCCTTTGAGAAGTACTTTGTATCTCTGATTTGAAAAAAAGGTTATTATAACTCTTATATAAATAAGAAAACCTTTCAGTTATCCAAGTTTAATAGAAGACCTTTTACCACATTTATACTTCCTCTGAAATATTGAAACAAACTGGAGGAGGAAGCCGGCTCGCTAACAGGCTTCTTCTTAATAATTTAAGCTGATGTGCTTTTGTGATATTTATATTTAAATTAGGAGCCTTTTAACTGCATCGTCTGACACGTCGTAGCTTTAAACTTTCATGTGAAGACTGAAGATGTGTGTGCGCGATAGGGAAACTTTATGACTTCACAGCTAAGGGGCTAATTGGACAATAAACTCTTATTTGTCTCCATTTGCCATCAACCAAAGCTACTTTCAGTTTTATTTTCCTGAATAGAACAATGCTGTAAAAGGGCATCGAGGCTCTCTCATCTTAAAGAAAAAGCTGTATTGTCTTTGTCAGTGTGTGTCAGTGTGTGTGTCAGTATGTGTGTCAGTGTGTGTGTCTCTACCTGAAGTTCCTTCATATCCTTCTCCAGGCGGAGTCTCTCAGAGGTTTCCGTCTCCAGCAGCTGGGAGGCCGACTCCCCGGTGTTTCTCTCATCGGACAGCTCCGACGACAGCTCTGAGATCTGATGCAACACACAACCATGAGTACAAACACACATTTACACACAGCCACACACACAGATCAAGAATTGAGAATTGAGATTTGTTTAATATTGTTCCTTTAAGTCGCTGATACAAACGGGATCATCAGGGAAATGACAGCAACTTATAAAACCAAAGTTATTCAGGAAAATAAATCCCAAACTCTTCTGTTTGTGCTTCTCTCTGTTTTCCTCCACAGCTCTCATCGCTATAAACACCCAGTAATTACACACACACACACACACACACACACACACACACACACACACACACACACACACACACACACACACACACACACACACACACACACACACACACACACACACACACACACACACACACACACACACACACACACACACACACACACACACACACACACACACACACACACACACACACACACACACACACACACACACCGTGCCTCTTGTTTCCTCAGCTCACCTGTAAAATCTATCTGTTCCACCATTATTCAGGTCTACGTCTTAATTCTCTTACTTCTGTTTGGACGAGCAGAGCGGCTGCACAAGAGGATACGGAACTCTTCTTCTGCAGAAATATGTGATCGAAGTGACACACCTCTTTATCGGACACCTGTAAGAGGCCGCGGATCGGTACGCTCTGATGCTCAGGTGTGTTGTCACAGCCAGGACTAAATTCAAACTGTCTTCTGATTCACGACAGGATTGTAGATAGATCTATTCAGCCAATGTCAAGTAATGTGAGCAAATTTGAATTCTTCCTTCTCATGTGTCTAACCCTTTTGACTAAATATTCTCTTTTTGTCCACATTTTTTAAATGGTAAATTCAGAGGAATGGCTCTGTTTCTTTAAGCTTACCCGACTCTCAAGTCGATCGGTGTTCAGTCTCAGCTCGTTCCGCTCTTTCTCCACCTTGTCAAGTTTCTGCTTCAGCATCTGGATCTCTTCCTGAATAACAAAAGAGAAGGAACAAGGGTCTTATTTTTCCTGATACAGGATATAGAGGGAATTAATCAGCACATAATCCAAAGATTCCTCCAAACAGTGATCTAATTTTGTCAAATCGTAGGTGTTTTCTGGGTGTCTTCCTCGTGATTTGCATCTAATTTTATCAGAAGAAGACGAAGCAATTGGGGTATTAGATAATAAAACCAAAGAAATATCCATTAAGAACATTTAAATAGGTGTTCTAGTTGTTCCAAGTCAAGTTTCTTGAGTGAAAAGAGAGTCACATTGTCGAGGAAAAGGTGAAAATGAGTTACATTTCTAAAATCAAATTAAAATAAAAAGATGTCGGAGGAAAGAGACGCATCAAAGCCAACAACCTTTTCAGCATTTCCATTATGATACTCACCAGTACAGTGCAAATCTGTGTGTCTGAGTGTCTGTCTGAGTGTATAGACTCACGTCCTTGCCGCGGATCTGCTCCTCAGTGAGCTGCACCTCGATCAGAGGTCTGACGGTGGTGAACAGCTTCCACCACGGCCAGCCTTTGACGCCGCGGTTCTTCTTTATGTTCTTCTGGATGCAGCGGATGGCAAGATCCTGGATCTGTCACACACAGAGAAGACACAAACAGCATTTTTATAACTGTAGCTACACGTGGACTATATCTTACAGTTCTTACATTTCATTTGAAAAACCTGACACTTTTTGCAGCTTCCTGTTTGTATGTGAAGCCAGAACATTGCAATGCAATTCTAGGTTTACTGCAGCTTTGTGTAGCCTCACACATACTACCAACAACAACGATAACACTATTAGTTATGATAATAAAAATATCGGTATCAGTATCGGTATCTGAACATATGTATCATAATCGGATCAAGTGAATCTCTATTTGCATGATGATCTTTTTGTTTCCTTCCAGAAATCCAAATGTAACACTGACAGACACTTTTTATTTTCAAGCTGTGGGAGAAGGAATTCCTTGAATTAACAGACAGAGAAAGTTTCAGATTGAGACACCTGAAAACTCGAGTGACTTCTTGAAAGGTCTGTGGAGATGACTGAAGGTGGGAAAAGGTGAGTGTGGCTGGATGAAAGGAAGGATCAGCAGGTGGAGAGACTCAGATCCAGACCATTTCCCTGTAGTCTTCATCTGAACACTTTACGTCTGGTTCCCACACTCCCCCCCAACCCCCCCCCCCCCAACCCCCCTGGACAAGAAAACACTCCACGCTCAAGCCTCCACTCAGCAGGAGGAGCAAATCAAGGAAGGCTTTCATCTCATATTAGACTGATTAAACTGAACTCTGTCCTCTGCAGGGTGATACATCTTCAGGAATCAGAAGCAGAAGAAGAATTTAAATCATGCTTCCAGATATTAATATTTTTTTCTGCACGAAAAAAATGTGAAGAAAGAAGCTTTAGAAGGCTTAAGGGATGACAAAGATTGTTGTTCTTATATGCAGGTAACAAGAGCAAACTAGCAGGTTCTTTTTCTAACGTCGTTCGGTGTTTCACTTGGGGAGACGCTTTGGTGACCAATTTGGAAGCACAATTCTCAAACCTAACAACGTTGTTTATTCACTTTCCTCAAACTCTGATTTATTTTTACTTTATACTACATTACGTTGATGTTTACTCACTCTTTTGAATGTTCTATTGAAGTTTCTGTCCGATCTTTAAATGCAGCAGCTTGAGCACACAGCTCCATCCATCGTCAGTGTTCACCTGCACAGCCAGGTAACTCAGGTAATCGGAGAATGTGTTTGTTTACGAGCACTGTGGTAACATGGTTACTGTAAATCTGTGTTTACATGCAGCAGGGCAGTTATCAGATGTCTCACTGAGCTCTTTTATATCTGCTGTATTAATTAAGAAAATGGGTAATACGTTGAGTATGAAGATGCACATCGATCTGCTTTTGCTCTCTCAGTCTGAAGTCTTAGTCCAGATCGATTAACGCTTTAGAAACCTGGTTATCAGTCAGACAAGAAATCAGCTTTCTCCTCTACCCCTTTACTTGAAGGTGGCAGATCAGTTAACGTGAATGACAAAAGAAACGTAATAACACACACAGACCTTTTTACAAAGAGATTCTGCCATAAGACTCTGAGCTGAGAAGAAGAAGCTGAGCTCGTATGTTTGCACACTGCCAATCTCCGAACATATCAGCTATCATCCAACGATGGTATATCCTCTGGGGGTGATGGGCAACTTTAGGGGGGCCCCGGGTGAAGCCAGCGGTCAGCGAAAAACAACTTCAACCCAAGACTTCCTTTTCCAGGCGCCAACATTGTTACAGTCTGACTGCAACTAGAGGCAAGAGTGGAGTTGAGAAACGTCTCGGAGGTTATCATTGGCCATGCTTTTATGCAAATGTATGTTTAAGACATTTATACAAGCCAAATCATCAGATGAGTGCTGATGGGTTTCCAGGATTGCATATCAGCGGATTGAATCCTCCTCTTTTGCTTCCCAAACAGACTGTTTTCTGATCATATTCAGACAGCAAATGGGAACCAGAACACTTCTGATATCAAAGTCCTGGCCAATAAATACTGCAGCTATGTTTTTATATTTTTAAGCTTAGCATACTTCTTATGCAGTGTTTGATTGTTCAGAGCATGCTGCATTATGGGAGCCACGAAGTGCAAAGTAAGGCTGAAACTAGAGTTGGTGCAAATAATGGGTGATCTTGGAAGCCATTGGCTATTGTCTGACGAAAGATGGCCAAAACTTTGGTTTCTCTGGAGTAGCCTGCGGTTAAGAATTAACAACTTCTTGCCAAGACTTCTTTTTCCATGCACTGCATTGTTCACAGTTCAACTTGAGAAGGAAGAAGGGAGTTGACTTTTAAAGGCAGATTTTAAGCTGCTCTTATAGTCTTCATTTTGAAGATAAAACGTTGTTAGATGGCCATCTATGGGTTCTAAATTGTATTACGGTGAATCACATTCGGCCCCTCTTCTGCTCTCCACACAGAGTGTTTTCCTGCACACAGTCAGAGACCACTGAAAGGCTTGTGGACCACTTGAACTAACAGAACAGAAACCAATTCAAAATGTGAAAACAACAGCACTGCTATCTCCTGAACGCACACACAACACCATCCTGTCCTGCAGAAACGCCCCACACACACACACACACACACACACACACACACACACACACACACACACACACACACACACACACACACACACACACACACACACACACACACACACACACACACACACACACACACACACACACACACACACACACACACACACACACACACACACACACACACACACACACACACACACACACACACACACACACACCTCAGCTGTGTCTACCTTTGCTGCCTGTGGACAAAATGGAAAGTAACCACCCTCCCACCTCCCCACACACACACCTCTCAGCTTTCACCTCGGCCCCTTTCATACAGAACAACGCTGTGGAGTAAAAGTGTAACTGTGTATAAGGTGTCCTCTACCTGTCCTTCACACCTGACTCCATGGATGCCGCTACAGAGGCTTGGATGTACACACACAAACTGAGCAGCTGAGTGAGTCTGAGCACACCTGCTCCCTGGCGGGGGGAAGGAGGTGGGCCGGGGGGGGGGACTTCTGTCTTTAGGCAACTATTTAATTAGGCTCAGTGTTGGTTGTCTGGTGGAGGAATCCCCCATGATCCTCCTCTCTCTGTGCGCTGTTCCCCCTGAATGTCAAAGAGACAGAGACAGACTGCTCGGCTTCAAAGCCTTCAGCGGATCTCTTCTGTTTGTCTTCTCCTCCTCTGTGAGCCGCACTCTCTCGGATTCTTCCTCTCTCCTCCTCCTACTCCTTCTCACTTGTTCTACAGAGTTCTTTGAACACCGATTCACCCCCCCTTACCCGGGCAGGGAGGCAGGTGGGGGAGGAGTTGGGAGGACATGAGGGGATGCTCCCCTGAGCAGGAAGCAGACTTCATGGAGGAACAAACGGATTGATTTTGTGTTGTGTCAATAAAAACAGAGTTAGAGCAAAGAACTAGTTTCGGGAGAAAAATCCAGATGTTGCAGAAGTCAAGAAGTCTTTTGCAGATGTTTTGGTAGATTCTGAACTATTAGTTTAAAGACAGACTGCTTACAGAATATTTAAATAACACACCTTAACAGAACAAACCAACATCTACCTGTCAGGCTTCCAACTTTTTAGTCATACCGTGAGAGAAACAGAGTTTCATGAATAAAGATGCAGAGACTGTTCCCTTCTTAATTAGCTAACATGTCTGTTATAGTAAAAGTGCAAACTCTGTTCAATCTTCATGAAATAAAACCCAGTTTCTGATGAGTTCAAAGTATTTTCTTTCTTCTCCTATTGTTTAAGGTCTCTCTGAGTTTATTGTATACTCTGTGCAAAGATTGTCACGATACCAGGATTCAAAACTTTGACATGATTCAATTAAAAATCTAACAATAGTGACACTTGTTTAAATTCAGATTCCAAGGCAACCAATATTGGATATTTTTTTGTTATGGATACAGATTCCCTCTGTTTGTAATCCTTCATCACCATTTGTGACAAATATAAGAGATCTCCCCTTCCAACATTTCTCCACTCTCACTCTTTCTATGTGCACATCCCCCCCTCAAAAAAACAAAAACATAACAAGTAATGCAGGACCTGAAAACTCATTGAAAAACCAGGCCAAGACCTGCAGAGGTGCATTAAAATAACATCAAGTGTGAGTGTTTTCCTGCTCTCTGGTCCGAATCTAAGACTCCAAAAGAATCCCAACAAAACGCTCATTAGCGACTGGTTGCTAATGACAGCCACAACAAAATGGACCTAATTCCAAACTGCATCAATTAGATGAGATTACTTTTTACCCCGAGAGATGAGGCTCAAACTGAGTCTTTCAGAGGAAGCGGACAAGTGAAACCTAAATGTCCTTGAAAAGTAATCTTAGTTGGCAGGATGGAGTTCGGTGAGGGAAGGAAAAAAAAAGAAGTGAAATGCTAATGAAAGGCGGACGAGGATCCAAAAGTTTAATCTCTTCACAAACGCACACTAACACACACTTTAAAACTGTGCAGCAAATGAAGTGTGTGTTCAAATTAGAAAACTTCCACAAACAACTTCAAAACTTCTGCAAAGGAACCCACAGAGAAAGTCAACGGATCCCTGCAGGCATCTTCAAGAGTCAGACACAAATAGAGGCATTGTATTTCCCAACAACAACACAGCACACGCACACACACGGAGAGTAAAATACAGCAAAGACAAAATCCTCAACAAGGGCGACTCGGGTGAATCATCCAAAAACCAAATTTGGCTTCAGTGTAAATGTTTCTCTCGGGGTCTGATCTGCTTTCATCTCTCTGTGAAGCGGCCAATAAAGCTGAAATACCCTGATGGTCTTTAGAAAACACATTAACTCAGGATGAATGAGATAAGTGAACCCTTCCCGTGTGCGTGACAGGCTCACCTTCCTCTTCTTGAAGGCCTGTCGGGCCAGGTATCCTCTGCAGGCGGCCTGGAACAGAGAGATGTTCCTCCTGGTCTGAACGTCCCGCTGCTCCTCCAGCCTGGAGAGAGTCCCAGCTCTGAAGAACACCTGCAGCAGGAGAGAAGAAGTTAGTGACTTACACTATACTTTTCTTTAAGGAAGAGACACGTGGCCATGTACAGATAAAGCCACCACAAATTTCCACTCCCAGCCAGAGATCATCCAGCGGCCTGCCAGTTTGGTTATTTGTCCATTTTTTACTGAAATGTGTACAAAAAGTATTGTCATTTTCAAAAAGTTAAAATAAGTCTCAGAGGTCACTAAAACATGTCTGTGAAGTTTCTCGCCAAAGATCCTCTCTGATCCTGTATTTGATCATGTCTATAAACCCCTCTATTTCAGCCCTGCTCAGAACAGGCTGTTTCTGTGTCTGTACCTTTAAATGCAAATGAGCTGTGTCTGACCACGCCCCCTCTCTGGAAGGGCTTGGGTGGCTCGGGCTTTCTTGCACCATACCCTGTTGTTTACTAGAGAAGGCAGACTCAGAGGGCAGAACAAACACCTAGCTGTGGGAGTGTCACCCACCTGGGGGAGGGGTTACTGCCCTTTGTGATGTCACAAAGGGAATTTCTCCAACCGGCCTGTTTAAGCACGCATTTTCTGAAACGTGGAGCAGGCAACAAAAAAGACAGAGAGGATGGACTTTTTTTCATTAAAAGGGGATTTTTAGGCAGAATAGGGACACATATTAGTGTTAGAAACGATGCATGAAATGAATACAACACTTGTTGTAGCTCCTTCCCATGAAAATAAACTGTCATTGATTGTATTGGTCCTGATTACTTTTTTTCTCGCCCATACAGATTTCTCTTTCTTTCATATCCTTTTCTGATGATTGGGCCATCAGTAGTGCTTCTTCCTGAATGCCAATGAGCGCACATTTTCAATTGGACTATAAAGCATTGAGACAGGCTGACACTGACCCCTTTAAAAGCCCACATCATAATGTCGCTTACTCCTTCTGGATAATTTGTGTCTGAGAGGAGACATTGCTCTGTTCCTCAGCCTGAATTAGCTGGCAGCTCTTAGTGGAAGTAGATTCATTAAGCGGCGTTTGAGTGACGCTTTGTCCTTCATAGGAAAGGACTGATCCAAACGCTGCAATTTTTAAAAACTGGGCATGATAAAAAATTGATGCTAACTGAAGGTCTCTGGATTTTTGTCCAGAACAAAATGATTTTAAAGATTGTTAAACGGTAAAAGAACTATACTTATAAAGTTCCTTCCTTGTCTTCTGTCCAGACAGGGTCTTTTTACACTACATGTCACATCCCCCAATCACTCACACATTCATACACTTATGCACAGGAAACTATTCCCATCCAGACACATTCACATGCTGCCAGCGATGCCAGCGAGAGCAATTTAGGGTTCAGTGTCGTGCCCAAGGACACTGGATTCAAAATGTTACCAATTTTTGTTTCACATTCTTTTTTTCCCCTTTTTTTCCTCTCTCTCTAAATGGACTCAGCCCCTGAAATAAATCGTCCTCCACTGGGAGAAGCTGCTGAGGGCCGATGATGTCGAAGCAGCCTGGGAGGAGATAACACATCTGGCTAACATGAGCTGCTGAGATCCGTGGAGAGCTGTTTGTCAGGGAGGGCCAGCTTTAATGATTCAGGCAGAGAGCCACAGACGAGCTGGCAGAGAAGCTCAGGGGCAGTTTGGCAGAGAGGTGGAGAAGACACAGCCACCTGCACAGTCCCTGCCTTATGTGTCATTAGTGACACTTTAAATTTGAATGATAATTAATCCTTTAACCAAAGTAAGATGTACTGCATTGTGAGTGTAACTTGCAAAAAGCAGGATAGGTTAAACTGCTGGTGTTTGAAGCTGGGCATTGAGCATTCTTGGTGTTGCAACTTGGTCTTAAACTATATAAATATAGAGCACAAGCCTCCATTTCCTTCTGTTGAAGGCAAAATACCCCCACACTGATGATGTCATTTAGCACCAATTTGTGTTAAAATGGATTTGCTGCAGTTTTTGTCACTATTAGGGCTTTCACACTTTCCTGAAAATTCCTGAAAAGACTCCTGATACTTCCAGGAGCAGCTGTATGTGTGAAGGCAACAGCATAATTTTTCACTCGGACTGCACCTGGAGTTTCTCCTGCCAGCCTCCTAGTATTTTTTGCGCAGCAAGTCTGAGTGAGCTGATGTGAGAACACAGCAGGATATTATACAGAGAATTCACCTCATGCCAACAGGAGAGGGAGTGACGTTTATATCCTGAGAGTGGAGTTATTAAACTGCTGCATTATGTTTTCTGTTCTCCAGTATGTTGTTCTCTGTTATTTTGTTGACATTGCGATTCTTTTACACTACACATAGCATTGATATAAAGCGGACTCTGTTGCTTCATCTGCTTCTTATGCTTTTTTATTTAGTATTGTAGCCATTAGAATGTATTACTGTAAATATTATTTATCTTATTTTTACCTCATTTTATTTGATCTATTTTACCTTCTCTCCTTTTTTGCTTTTAAAAAAAAGAAAAATAAACCAATATTATAAAGTAAAGACAGAATTAGTAAGTAGGTTTGAATGCCTAGCATCCCTTTGCAGGTACGCCCACCTTAAATATGACTGTTATTGTGAGCAGATGTGACTGATGCACAGGTAATGTAGAGTATTATGCTATTTTCCACTGTAAAGGAGCTCATTTATTCATAATTCAGACCGATTCCCACACTGCAGGAGGTAGACAGTGTAATTAGAGGAGTAAGTGGCCCGCTGGCTCTCTCTCTCTCTCTCTCTCTCTCTCTCTCTCTCTCTCTCTCTCTCTCTCTCTCTCTCTCTCTCTCTCTCTCTCTCTCTCTCTCTCTCTCTCTCTCTCTCTCTCTCTCTCTCTCTCTCTCTCTCTCTCTCTCTCTCTCTCTCTCTCTCTCTCTCTCTCTCTCTCTCTCTCTCTTGCCAGTAAAAGAAGAAGCAAAAGTTCTGATTTGAAACTTTATATGAACTCGGGAAAAGTAACACGAAGGCAAGGTTAAACTCTCTGCAATATCTGCCAAGGAACCTCTCTAATTGACAGCTCAAGGCCCTGACTGTTCTTTATTCCACAGACATTCACAGATCTAATTAACAAAACCATCAGCCTGTCTTTTTCCTTCTGATTAGCTGTTTTTTTTTATCTCAAAGAGTCGGAGTCTGGCAGCGTCTGACTCGGTTAGGGTCACAGATACAGAGAGCCACGAGGATCAGCTCCTCCTCTACATAAAGAGAGAGAGATTAAAAACAACACACGGCAGGACTAATGAAGGTGAAAACGAGAATGTGAGGAACAAAACAGCAGCGACTTTGGCAGAGAGGTAGGCGAGGAGAATGGAAAACGTTTCTAATTATCCGTTTAATTGAGAGTGTCAGTGTGTGAAAGGACGTCAGGACTTAAAGGCAGGTCTCTCCTTGACGGTGACACAAACGACACGGCTGTCAGAAACGTCTGGACTCGACACGCTGCCCAGGCGGAGAGACAAGCTTAAGCGTGATGTGATGTGAAGTATGGAGTGTTTATGAGGGTCTTCATGGTTTCCTGAGATGAACTGGACACTGCCTCAAAGTGAAAATGTCAAAAGAATTATGAAAATTATGTTTTCTGGAATACAGGGGGAGGGGATACTTCTTGGGGGTCTTTGAGGGAGTGACATGGCACTGGGCAAAGTCACATTGTGGATGCTCAGGCCAAGAGAGGGTAAGTTGTAAAAGAATAGGTGATCACAGAGAATAGTTCTTAGAAAATTTAAGGAGACCAAAAACTATTTTAGAACATTTCTACAGATGAGGTTTAAGATTAGAAATGTGTTCTGTTTTGGGAAATGTGAATATAGTTTACAGTTTTGCAGAAAATAAATACATCTCAGTACACACAGCTATTAATGCATGAACTAGTTTTGGAGAGGAGTTGGCAGTGGCAGCAAAAAGCATCATACAGAAAGGTGCAGAAGTACAGAAACATGGAAAGATGTCGAACTTCAAAATAATAGGTACACTAATACAAACAAGTCCTTTCTCAGATGTAGGATTCAAATTTAGGCTGTCGCAATATCCCGGTGTTGGCGTTAACTGTCTAAAAATAGGTATATGGTAATGCCGTGTAAATGATTGGTTCATATTTTTACGTTGGTTGCTACCCGCTACAAAATGGAGGGAAGACGAAGAAGAATAAGCAGCATCAGAAGAAGAAGGTGAAGACAAAGGCCGCAACACTAACTAGCTAGCTAGCAGCGCTAATAATGACTGAGGAGACGGTAGATGGAAGTGAGGTATTATACATAATATTTCTTTTGTTTACATAGGCCCACAATGCTGGTTAAATGTTGTGTCAAAGATGTAACGCAGCCACCTGCCACTAGGCGGGGTTTTAGCTCTACTACCTGGATGTTGTTGGTTCAACATCAGAAAAAGCTGTTTGGCATTGGCAGAAAAGATTTGGCAAGTTTTTCATGGGCGCAACCCACATACTCAGCTCTGCTGCTCATCCCACAATCCCACAATCCTTACAAATGTGACCCCATTTAAAAAGGGAATTAAACAGGCTTATTGGAAAGAAGCATAGTTATAATAAATAAATAATCTACCAAACACTAATTGCTGTACATTTTGTGCAATGTTAAGATAGAAAACATATAATATGATTTTAGCCAGGTCAAATAAATTGTGTTCAATTGTGACGGTTTTCTGAGCGTTTTCTTACCTTTAGACTTGTCGGCTGGTTTAAATTTAAATGTCCCTTTAGTGGAGAGTGATTGGTTGCTAGGAACATCCCTAATGGTTGCAGTGCTTGCATGTATATAGAGATGTTAAAATGTGCACGTGTGACTCGACTCACCCGGCTCAGCCCCATGTAGTGACTGCTCTTCTCCAGCTCCAGCGACTCCAGCAGCTCCTCCACCGCCTGCAAACATCACAACAAAGACGTCAGCGGACAGATTTAACAGAAACCATCACCGTCTGTTCCTGGTTTCTGTTCGCAGCAACAAGCAGCATAACCCTCTCAGCACCGGCTAACACAAAAACACACACACCCAGCTCTCTCTGATCCGCCTCGGGGGACATCAGAGGACAGAACTACTGTAGACGGACAGAAACGCATCTCAGGTCTTTTTCTGTCAAGTTTCATCTATTCTGTCGAGTCGACCTTTTGAAGACAAACTGCACACTGCAGTGTGTCTGCAGATCAGGGCTCAGAGGTCTTTCCAGGTTTGACAACAGAAGATTAACAAACTTGATTATTTTTCTTAAACATTGTGATGTGTTTTTAGCTCTTTACAGGGGGACACTCTAATATATATGTAGTAATGATAAATAATGTATCATGTATGGAAGAGATCTGATAGCACTTAGGATGGGACTCATATTGCATGACTAACCTGAGGGTTCCTCATACTTTCAGACTGATCCAGAAATAACACCCATTTTGCCTTTGATTATAAAATGATTACAGAAAATAGCATAAATCTTCCCATTTTTTCCAAGAATAACCCCTTGACCCCACTCTAACTTACTTAGTCCCCCCCAGACTTTTAGTTCACATGATGCCCCTGTTTAAGTGTGTGATGATTTCTCCAGGGCTTCTTCTTGCTGGCAACCAATGAATTAAAACTAAAATAAATTAGAAATGTATCTACACACGAGAGTCTTCACACCATGGTGTGCAGATTGTCATCTTCACTCCGGAACAGAAGTGTTTTGAACTCTGCTGCTTGCTTCTCTCTTTTCTCATTTCTTCAGTCTCTTGTTAGTCCCAGATTTATCTGAGGAAAAACTTTCTATGACTCATGATTTTGGTCCTATTAACAGATACCTTAGACTTCTCAGATGTTAGAAAACAGAGTAAAAATACTTTTTTTCAAAGAATTAAAGCTCAGAATCTCTTAGGTGGAACTAATAGGAGTGAGACCTGATGGAAGAGGAACCTGATTCTGTGTGATGTGTTCTATGTCCTCTCTGTTTGTTTGCCTGGCCGCTCTTAAAAAGCTCCTGACAGGTACACTATCTGTCTGCTGACATCACAGCTAAATCACACCGCACTAAGAGGAACTGACAGAACTAGGCTGCCAGACGCAAAAAAAAAAAAAAACTCAGACGGGCACAGCAAACAGATATCCTCCTCTTCCTCATCCTTATACTTAATTATTATTCACATTTCTCCGTCTCAAACCGCATCCTTCCACCTTTCTGTTCCCCCCCCCCCGAGAGATCTGGGTACCAAAACTACTTTCTGTTTTTTCCAGTTAGATCAACTCTTTGGACAGTGTCTGTTCATTTAATGTTAGTTTTATATTCTAACATAAAAAAAGTAACTTTTTAGATTCATAAATATCAGGGAAAAAAACATTCCTTGACTGAAAGTTTGGCTCATGAGCTGCAGGAGACCTTCATGTAGAAATGTTTTTTCCTCCTCCCCTCATAAAAGCTAATCACGCCTATGTGCAGAGCTGCTGTACACCGGCCGAGCCGCATGTAGAGGAGACATTAATCATATGCTCGGGGATGTTCCTTAACTGTACGGCCTCCTATACAAAAGGAATGGAAAGATAATGAGACAAGAAAAAGAAAAAAAAAAGGGTGGGAAGAGACGAGGGAACGGGAGGAGAGAGAGAGAGAGAGAGAGAGAGAGAGAGCTCTTCTTACCGCCAGTAATTAATCAGTACAGTAGCCGTATGCTGCCAGCCTGCACAATCATAATTAATTACACACAAGAGCGCTCGGAAGAGGAAGAGGACAGGAGCGAGGAGGAGTAAAAGGATTCTGTTCACACCGAGAGATTAGTAAGTGGAGGGCAAAGAGAGAAATATCTAGACTCTAAAGATCAACATCCTACTGATTTTTGGCTGAGAGAATAACTCAGGAGCACTCAGTGATTTAGAGTAGTCCTCTTTGAAATCACGAGGGTTTACAAGAGATAGAATCATCGATATCCATACAGCAGATACAACAATACCCTGACTCATACTCTCCAGTATGAAACAAAGCTCTCAAACCAGTGTAAACAACGGCTTCTTACACATCTGTACTGTAACACTGATTTATGTTACTGACGGAGTATCAAGGAATCCAACGGCTGATTGTGGGCGCCGCCATCTTGCGGTAGCCGCCGTAACTGTGGTGGCATTGTAGCATCTGCTGCTGCCTGCTGACTGTGACAGCAGCATACATAGCTGGGTTGAGAAGTTAAGACAGCTGCTGATGAAGGTACCTGAATCAAGCGATCTAAACATCAGTTAGATTTTTATATGATGTCTGATATGTCAAAATCTGACGACCTTTAGGAGAAATAAAGACAGAACATCCACCATCTCCTATACATTAGCGATGAAGCATGTGTAATGTAATGTGATTCTGCTGGCTAGTTAATCAATTAACAGCTGCAATCAAGCGTGATGCATTGTGAAATACATTTTTAAAGACCTTCATTAAGTATGTGTTTTCGTCTTTAACTGGTCTGTAATGATTCCATGCAGCTCTTTCCTGATTGTGATACTAGTAGAAGAACGTCATATATGAGATTTCATTAATCACAGGGTTATGAACAAATTAATACAATCTAAAGGTCACTCAGGGAGGGCTGTATTACTAATAATTATTATATCCACTCCTGGAGAATATCTTAGTCCTCTGCACGGCCAGTGAATCTATTAAATGTCTTGTGTGCCCTTTGTGGAAACCATGATTGTCAGAAAGTGTCTTCAGGTGAACTGACAAATACTTCTGGAAATTGTGATGCTAGATTTTACATATTTTTGGGTGTTTATTCTGTACGGTTATCTTTGCCTCTAACCCTGCACAACACTCACCCTCTTCTCGTCCGTCACGATGTAGTGACGTCCATGTTTCTTGGTCAGATGTGGAGCCAGGACGTCAAACCTCCTCCTGAACTCAGAGAACACCATGTGGTCGGGGTATCCTGAAAGGAAGGAGGGAGACAAAAACACAAAAGTCAGAGGAGCGTCTACAGAGCCAACATAGTCAACTGTAATCTTTGACAGCAAAGACAAAAACAAAAAAAACAGACTTTAACAAATTTACAAGCAAAGAGACATCACGATCCGACCTTAACTTCTGTTCAGACATTAAAGTTGAGATCAAACACCTTCAGTTCTTCCTCACCTTGTCGGTAGATCCGCAGAGCGTCCAGCAGTTTGGACCCTCTGAGCTGAGCTCTTAGGAGACCCACGTCCAGAGTCATGAGGCCTGAGTCGGAGCTTTCTCCATGGGTCACGCGGGGCTCACCTCCTCCACCCACCGCCTCAGCTTTGGGCAGCAGACAGTGGACGAAGTGAACCCTGGAGCGACGCACCATGTCGATCAGAGCGTCCTGAACACCGAGAGAGAGGAGAACGATCAGATGTCTGCTTCAACTCCTTGGTCCTTCTAGACGTACTCTAAAGCTGACTGGTGTTGATTTCTAGGAAGAAAAAAAAGTCTCCTCCACTCACCACTTGTAGTTTGACCTGTATACACAGACTCCTCTTCTTCACTGCAGCGACGCCTGTGGTGAAGGTCTTCCTCATGCTGGTGGCTCGTCTCAGGGCGAGCTGGGAGCTTCCCTCCAGCCCGGCGATGGAGCCTGAGAGCACCGTGGCGCCGCTGGCCCGGCCCATGAACAGACCGCTGATGTTCTTCCTGTAGATGGACAGGGTTAATATGATTGATTACCAGTGTGCAGTGATTGATTTAATAAAATACAAGGAGCTAATCAGACACATGCTGGCCTGCAGCTCATGGTGTTTTCTTTGGTCACTCTTGTGATACATTTAAAAAAAGAAATTGGAATTATTTTCAATTGTCGTGGATTTCACAGCTAAACTTTGTAAATAATGTTCAGAAAAACAGAACATTTCAGCTCTGCGTACTTCTGGGAGTCCTGCAGCAGCATGGCAGCGTTCTGGGCTGCAGGGTTGTTCTTGGCGTGGCTCAGCCAGCCCTGAGTGTTGTACTCCACCCAGTCCGTCCCATGGCTGTGACCCAGCAGGAAGAGGAGGGGCTTCTCTCCTCGCAGCAGCAGATTGGCTCCTGAAACGCAAACACAAATGTAAGGAGGACGATCAGTCCTATTCCTATTTCAGCAGAGAGAATATGTTCCTTTTCTTTCTAAAACTTTGGAATCACACCACAATCTGAAATCATTCATCGTTGGGAAACTAACTTCCAGAGTGATCCATCTTTTCACTATTTTCAGAATGTGACCGGCGATGTCACTGAGCCTACGTCCATGTTTTATACCGTCTATGGTTCAAGTAGTCATTGATGGATGAAACACTCATGGTCACAGTTAAAAGTTCAGATCAGTCAATCTTCAAAGCTGATCTCTCTCACCTTTGTTGTCTCCCTGTGCAGAACCGTAGTAGCTAAAGAGTCTCTCCAGCATCGTCTCCTCTGAACCTCCAGGCTGAACCGCCTCCTCCTCCATCAGCCAGAGAAGACCCCGCGCCTCATCCGTCCGCGCCAGAGTACGAACCTGAGGCGCAAAGGAACAAATGCAACCATGAGAAAAATACTCCATCACTCTTCTTTAAGATTATTTTTCTTTAGACTTGTACATAAAGCTTTATTCATTCATCATGAGACAACATGCAGGTACTTTGCAGATGAATGAGAAACAAATATAAAACAGAAGGAGGTTGGCAAGTGTGGGAGGACAAAAAACTTACACAATTCAAATGTCTTCTGGAGTTTTAAGAAATATTTAGTCCATGTTTTTACACCCAGATTCGTTTTTAGTCAATACTCTGAGTGTTTGTCAAAGAAAAACGGACAAAAAGTAGAAAACCTGCCTTCTCTTTTTTTATGTCCGATTTTATTCCTCTTTTGCTGCTCTCGACTTAAATAATCCTTATATTTTAGGTTGAGTGTCAGACTGACTTTGACTAGTTTAAAAGCTTTTAAAAAATGAGATATAGCAAAGAAAGAGTTCCTAGAATCCAAAGTGTATCCTGCTTTATTTTATTCATGAAGGAATCTAACTAGTGTAGAAACTGCTTTACTTTTCAAAGACGACACTTTAATAAATCAAATGGGATTCAGTTTTAAGAACCTTTTCTAATAGTTCTCATTTCTGTCTTTTTGATCAAACACAGCTTTAAAGATAACACTTTAACTTTGACATCCTGAATGTGTTGCTGAACAATGTGAAGGTCTGAAATGTTTACTTACATTTAAAAAAGAAGACCTTCAGAAACAACATCACTTTGAGTCAAAAGCTTCAGAAGCTTTGACGTGATTTGTCAGTGAGCCTTGAGATCACACATACCTTTTAAACTCTGATTCAAAAAAAAAAAAATGGCTTGGATCCTAAAGTGTGAATCTCTGCCTTTCTCTTCTTTAATGAGTCTATTCAGAGGCATCCAATGGGACTGTGAAATGTGTGCGTGCTTGTTTGGCAGAGAGCAGAATCTCTTAATGAGGAGATGCACCTCTTTCATGAGATGCTTTCAATCGTTAAAAGGAGGTTAAAACCAAAGAGCCTTTCAAATCACAGGAGAGATGCTGAGCTGTGCTGCTGACTCCCAAATTTCACACATTAGAATTCATCTTCTGCTTTATATCATATTTCTATATAGTTAAGAATGAAGGGAGATATGTTGATTGAATTTATAAAAAATGTAAATGTCACTCAAAGTTGTAGATGTTCTAAAAAAAAGCCATGTTCTTACTCGAACTGGCTTTTTAAGTATATCATCCAACAAGAAGAGAGAATGACAATCTTACTGCCGACAAGAGGACAAACTTGATGCCAATAAAAATATCTGATGTGGGACAAATTCCAAAAGGGAACGGAGCAAATTGGAGAAAAAAATGAGCCAAAATCCTGCTGAGCCAAACGAACAGGACGGAGCCCAGAGAGCTGGCAGAGCGTGAAGATGATCATTCACTCATTTAGTGTCGTTCCAAAAGTGAATTTAAAGACATGACATGAGTTGAACACCTGGAGACTGAACAGTGACTTAATAGTTTGACACACAAGCTTGTTAGAGGGTTATTGTATAAATGTTTGGTGTATTTGAACTGGACTGCAGTGAACTTCATAATAATACACAAATATTTAAATTCTTTCCAGTTGACATTTTGGTGATGATGATAATAATAATAATAATAATAATAATAATAATATAAACATGGCCTTACATTATGTATGACCCGGCACCCTTTGTTGTTTGTTTTACACTTTTCCCACATGTCATTCCCCACTCTCTCTCTCTCTCTCTGGTTTCTGACTCTATCCACTGCCCTATTTCTTTTTTTTCTTTTTTGTCAGACTTTCGCTGCATGTCATCCCTCCAAGCTCTCTCCTCCCAACATGTCCTGTCTCTCTTCAGCTGTCCTCTCTTAATAAAAGGCAAAAAGTCCCAAGAATTAAACTTAAAAAAATGATGTTTCCTTGTTTGTATTAGTGTCTTTCTTCTTTCTTAATGTCCGTCTAACCGATAATCAGTAATAGTAACAGTAGCCATTTTTTTCCCCAAATTTTCTCTGTTGTTGTTCATACATTACATACTGTACTATGTGACTTTTGGTGAGTGTATTTTTTTAAATTAAGAGACCAGCACCAGCAGAAAAAGAACACATAGATTTAAATATGCAGTGATTGGTAATATCTGAAAATTCAATGAGTTGACATTTTTTTCTTAAATTTGTTTTACCCCCCTTCCCTCCTAGTTAACTAGTAAAAATTTACTTTATTGATCCCCGCAAGGGGAAATGTCAGTTTTTACACTCTGTAGTCATGCAACACACACATAGGCTGAATTATATATACACACATGCACACAAACAGGATCCTATGGACATGCATTAAGGGAGAGATGTCAGAGTGACGGAGCGGCCCACAGCGGGCGCTCCTGAGCTGATGGTGGGGAGGGGGTTTGGTGCCTTGCTCAAGGGCACCTCGGCAGTGCTCAGGAGGTGATCTGGCACCTCTCCAGCTACCAGACCAACATCCATACTTGGTCCGCACCGGGACCCAAGTCCCTACAGACTGAGCTACTGCCGCCCCAACCTTCTGCAACCCCCTAGTGCCCCCTGGGGATCAGGGTCGGGAACTCCACTTTGAAAAACCAAGGAGCTAAATTAACTATATAACAGGACTCCTTCCCTTTACAAAGCACACTTTATCTTAATCATTTCTAATTTTGGATTCCATAATCCTGCTCCTGATGAAATGACACAGGTGTAAAGGCGTTTTGAGTAGTCAGAAGACTAGAAAATCTCAAGTCCATTCACCATTTACCATTCATGAGGAAACATTAATCAGGATGAAAATTAAACAAGAAAATAAAGAAAAAACATCACTGTTCTTGCCGCATGATACCGTAATGACATTGTTTGTGTACAAAAAGTACGTATTTAGCAGCTGAATGATGTGGATCTGAACAGGCCAACACAGCCTTAAGATGTCACACATCGGTCATTCAGGTGGGAGCTAAAACACAAAGACAACACATGCACATCTGAATAACAGAGACAGAGTGTGGAGTTTTCTTACCAGAGCTTGTGTGGAGGCTTGGTCAATAGCTGCTACAGACAGAGATGTACTGGACTCTATGTCATCTAAAGCAAGCTCTATGTTTTCCTACACAGGAGGGATAAAGGCTGAGGTTAGTAACCTAAAGAGAATCATTAGAGCATCATGATACACAATGAGAGATGTTCACTTTGAGTATCAAATCAGCCAGCAGATTGGGTTGTTTTAAAGTGTTTTTTAGTTAGCATCATGTTTCTAGAATGTGAAATTACTCATCATTATTATCGAGTTAAATCATCTATAAGTGCTGTAATCAACTGTCAGAAAGAAGGATTGATTTTTGCATGATCAGTTTATAAAGAGGTGAATATACATTAGAGATTTTCAGTGCATATGCTATCCATGAGCTTGTATAAAACATGACTTCTCAGTTGACTTCAGGGTTTTCTATCGATGCTAAATGGGGTTTTAATTCATTTTCCCCGGTGTTTTAGATTTCTGTCAGCCTTCACCAAACATACAGAGCAACATGTATGCTTACTGGGTTTAATAAGAAGTGTTAAAAGTGTTGGATCAAAATTCCTTTAAACTACACTTTAAAAGGCAGAGTCAGTAGCTTTTTCCTGACAAATATCGTGCTGCTCAATCTTCACTTCTGGGCCTCCATACATGTTCGTTGGGGACTGTGTCTTCAGAGACCCTGTACCCGGGTAGGGCTGTGCTCAAAATATCGATAAGGCAATATATCCTCATGCACTCTTTACAAGGCAACTCTTTACATGTATCGATGCAGATGTTACAGAATCAATATGTCTGCAAACACCATAGCCATAGCTCTAAGATTAAACTATTTCAATGTATTTATAGAATCTCTGAGGACCTAAATTGAAGTGTTTAAAGTTTCTTATGCCTCTGCTATTCTTAACAATAAAGAACAGCTGTTGTGACCGTAGTGAATTCAGAGTAGAACATGGTCATTATCCAAAATCAATGTATATCACAATATGTATTGGTGAGTTTAGGAGTGGATACAATTCAGAGATTGGACGCAATTCCAACAGGTGAATGTGACGGACTTGGGCGTAGCGGCAAAGAAGAGAAAATGTAATCATAGTGAGGGGAAACGCCACTCGGATAAAGCTTGTTCTTAAAATGAGGGTGAACCTTGTGTTGACTGTTGCGGCTGCAGAGTTGGTCTGCTTCCTGTTGGACAGACAGTCACCAAACACCAGCAGTTAGCTTGCAGTGTAGGTACACACCACGCCCTGCAGTGAGTGTGCGCTTCTGGTGGCGGTGAACTAAGGAGGAGGGGCCTAGTTTGACTGTTGGGTTTCCAAGCTGCAGCGAACAATGCTACTGACTCCACCTTTAACAACTAAGTTTTCAACACTGTGCGCACCATCTAACTTCCATTGATCTTCATTGTATTGCTGGTGAAACAGAAATCTAAAACCAAAACTACCAGCATGAATATTCCCCTGAAAAGCAAGAAAAATAAACTGATGAAGTAAACTTCTTATGTATGTCGTGTTGTGCGGGCCTTCAGCACCTCCTTGTATCTGTCGAGCTCTTTGACGAAGGTGCGTTCCTGGAACAGCGTCTGCAGCCTCTCCTGGGTGTAGTTGTGACAGAGCTCCTCGAACGTGGCTCCTCGCTGCTGCTGAGCCAGACGAGGGTTCTGGAAACCCGGCGTGTCCACGATGAGCAAGGAGCAGAGCGAGTGTTGACTGGACTTCAGAGCTCTGACGGGAGACAAACACACGAGGAAGAGTCAGTGGCGGAGGTTTTAATGACGCTGGACTCATAATCTGATCGTTTACTCGGCTAAAAGGACAGACATTTCCTGAGCTCATTGTTTGATATGAGAAACAGAATGTGAACTATTTATGTTTGCTTGTTTCCTTTTCTCCTTCTCTTTCTCCACCTTGACTTTCTTCCTTTATCTTTCTCATTATGCCTTTATTTCCTAGTTCTTTCTTCCTTTTCTTACTTGCTTCCTTCCTTTCATTCAATCCTTACTTCCATCTTTTCCTTCCATCATTGCTTTCTTTCTTTCTTAGTTTCCTTCCTTCCTTACCTTCAATCCTTCCTTCTTGCTTCTATCCTCCCATAATTTTCTTCCATCCTTCCTTTCTACCTTCCTTCCTTCTTTCTCCCTTCCTCCCTTTCTTCCTCCCTTTCATTGCTAGGTAGAAGCTACACCACAAATGACTGAAGGTTCTGATTATTGTAGAAGAATCTTGCATTTTGAGAAAACACTGTTAAAAGTCCACCAACATGAAAATGCAACTAAAATCTTGCTAACTGTGAGTAACAACGTGTGTGTGCAAGAAAAACAAGAAAGCTGCAGTGGAGCATCCTGAAACAAAGGCACAAAAACAAATCTGTTCAATAAGAGATGAACGGCAGACAAATAAAACAATTGATTTCACAGTCATCTGAGCAGCACTGCCAAGACTAATTGAATAAAAGCTTCTACGGGAAAAAAAACAATGGTGAGCTGCGGACTGTGTGAAAAACCAAACACAATGTGTACTACACAAAAGCCTTATTAATGTTCAATTACTACACAACACAATGGACTCCTCCAGGCTGAGTTTCCTTTTAGGATTGTCCCTAAAGGAGAATCTATACACGTTAAGAACTTCTGATTTCATTTGTTTTGTTGCAGAAATGTAGTTTGAATAGGAGCCACGGCAGCTGAAGGAGAATTACTGGTAGAAAAAATATGAAAAAAAAATAATAATAATTAATTAAAAAATCTGAGGAAATTATTGAAGGGATAAGAGGTTGAACAGTGAAAAGTGTGTGAGCTGCAGGAAGTTTTAGCTTAAGTGTTCATACTTTAAACGAGCTGAACAATTGACTTATGTGTAAATCCAGAATTGAACTAATATGTCCCTAGCCTGTCTACAAACCCTCCAAGTAAGAAAAGTCCATCATCTGTGCTTTTTGCCTGCTCCACTTTTTATAAAATGTGTGCTCAAACAGGCTGTTTGGAGATTTTCCCTTCATGACATCACAAAGGGCAGTAGCCCCTCCCCCAGGTGGGTGACACTCTCACAGCCAGGTGTTTGTTCTGCCGTCTGAGTCTGCCTGTTGAAAATTGGGCATGCTGAGAGAAAGCCCGGACATCAAAGGCCTTCCAGAGAGGGGGCATGGTCAGACACAGCTCATTTACATTTAAAGCTACAGACACAGAAACAGCCTGTTCTGAGCAGGGCTGAAATAGAGGGGTTTATAGGCATGATCAAATACAGGATCAGAGTGGATTTAGAGCAAGAAACTTCACAGAATTATTTACACTGATTGAAAAGGAGGAGAATATGTGACCTTTAAAGTAATTTAGCAACTTCTTTAAACTATTAGAATAATTCAGGTCTGACCTGTTGATGAGGGAGATGACGAGAGTGAAGAGCTCCGAGTAGAGTCCAGATGCCATGGCCTCCAAACACTCCAGAGCTGTGACCTTAGAGCCTGTGAGATGACGAGGACAAGATGCAGAAAATCAGCAAAAATTTAAGCCAGTATGGAAACAAACCTCAAAAATACCACTGAGGGATGACAAAAAATAATAATTTATTCTTTTTGGGTAATGACCAAAGTTTCTCTAAAACAAAAAAACTTTTAATAAGCGTCTTCTACATTTTTGGTTACAATCTCAGTGTGTTAAGGACATTAGACTGGATCTTTAAAAGCGAGGGCTTCCCTGTTTTAAAGAAACCTCTTCCTGTTTCAGGGGATGAAAGGCAGTTTGCACGAGAGATGATTTAACACCCCTGCAGTTATTACCTGTGCCGTCCCCTTGTCCGGCCTCGTCTGACCCTCCTCTGAAGGAGGTGGAGTGCTGCAGTCCTTTGGCCTTGTGTTTAAAGATGGAGGACGAGAGCTCCTCTAAGGTGCAGCCCAGCAGGTAAGCCGCCTTCTGAGCCCATTCATGACGCGCAAACTGACGACGACCCGCTGAAAAACCAAAAAAAATACAAATCTGATGAAAAAACACAACGCTTTAAACACAAAGACTGATGTAACAAGATTATGAAGGTGGCATGTTGAAGAAGATGAAAAGATGAAAAGATGAGGGAGGCAAAAGAGATTCAGGAGAAAAGGTTGTAGCTACCCTGAGTTTTAAAAAAGTAACATTACAGCATGAACTATAGCTGGGTCATTCAGCATGGCAGCTCTGGTTTTCAGAAGATATTTTCTCTGTGTAGCTAAATGTAGTTGAAGGTATTTTGTGTAAAATGGCTGTAGGAGTTGTGTGATAACTGACAGCTAAGGTGTCAAGATTCATACTCTGAAGAATAGAACAGAACTTTACGAAACAATTAATTGAAGACAATAAACATTCAGAATTTGAAAACCAAAATCCAACAGAAACAGAGAAGATTAAGATTGCCAATCACTGGTGATCACACCCCTCCTCTCAGTTAGTGTTTGCATGAATCTGAGTGTGTCTTCATTTAGTCTGGATGCAATTCAAAGTCTGAGTGCGAGCGAGCCAATAGCAGAGCTCAGACGCAGAGAGCCAGAAAACCAACAAGAGGCTGCTGCCAAAACCGAAACTTCAGGGAAATAAAAGTTCTGTGGTGGAAAGTCACAACTCGAACAAGAGGAGTGAAAGTGAACACTTTGCTTTACACAGTGTGTTGTTGTTGTTGTTGTTGTTGTTGTTGTTGTGTGTAGCTGTGTGGTAGCAGCTCAGGAGCTGAACATGGCCAACATAGGGAGAAATCAGAGAGAGCGCTATAAAAGGAACAGTGAAGGTGTGATCCCTGTGATTTTCATCTCAGGGAACAGAATCGGGTGAGACGGGGAACAGGGACAAATCAACACGAGGAAAACAGGATGAAGATGGGAGGAGGAGGAGGAGAAACAATAAAAATGCTAATGACCAAACACCTGGGAGGAACGATAAAGGCATTAAGTGAGAAAACGCAAACAAGAAAAGCTCTGAAGGGAAAGTTTTAGAAGGTGAAAAACAGTCAAACAACTTGTGTTTCCATTACCTTCATCTCCGTCTGCGTTTGATAGGCGCAGCATGCAAACATGCAAGTAAACACAAGAGGTTAGAGAGAACAGTTCATTAGATCCATCAGGAAACATAAACATTAAACAACAGGGACATGCAGCCCAGCAGCATGCTGAGGAGTATTGTCCAGCAGCCTGTTTTTTAAGGGAGGAAAGGGTTAAATAAACTCCTGCAGGGTTTCACCAGAGACAAAAAAAAAAGGAACAAAACCTCCTGCAAGTGCAGACTTTTAAAATCTAACAATGTTGTTCCTTTAAAACTGAAAGATTGCTGTTTTCATGTTGACCAGACTGTGCTTGAACTACAATTTGGAACTTGTATTTTCCTGCAAGACATGAAATACACAGAGGTGCTGAGTCCACTGTTCATTCTGATACTGGAGTGGAAGAATCATCTGGAGAAAATAGCTCACAGGTAAGTACAGTTGAAGCTCAGTTCAAGTTGGAGAATTTGGACAATCTGAAAAAGTTTTGGTACACAGTTTGACAGATTGATTCATTTGATGTCATGGCAGAAAAATCTGTACTTTTTTCTTGACATGAGGGCCGCTCGATTATGACAAAAAAATATTATTTTGATTGATGACGATCACAATTATTTAACATAAAAACTCATTCATTTTACAAAATCTGCATCACAAGCATTTATCAAAAAAACAACCAGTAAGTGAAAATAAATAAGTCAAAAATGCAATGGTCATTTTTCATAATTTGCATATTCTGCAGAAAAAATATGTGACATAAAAGAAACTCTACTAAAAATCATAGAAAGTAACAATGTTTGGACCTTTAATGGTAACAATGAGCTAATATTTAGATGACTACTGTGATATGATAAAAGGCTTTAAAACAAGAGCATATGTGGAGTGAGAGATTGTACCTCACTGATGCTTTTGTATCTGAGTGGGAACAAAATTCTGCAGACTGTGATGACAATGAATTTGCAGAAATCAGACGAATTTGATTATCTTTTCAAACTAAATCCAGAGATTAACATTTGTAATCTTAGTGAGCCTCTTGATGTCAGGTTAAAGCATCGCAGCATCTTTTAGAGGAAATCTCTTCCCCTTTTTCTTGTTGTTGCGGTCAGCATTGTGCCTACCAACAGTGTGCGCAGCCTGACACCTAGTGGCACTTTGTGATACTACAGGATTTAATCCTGTTAAATTCTATGGTAATCTGAGAGGGTCCATTGATGTTGGAGTAATGAGGCATTCGTACATGGTAAGAAGGAGAGAGGAGCGATATGCAGAATAAAATGACTAAACTGAGAGTCCAGAGACGGAGAGGTAGGGTGACAAAAACAAATAGTAAGAAGAAACTTCGCCCCTAAATGACATGCGGGGAAGGAGCTGCGGGTCAGAGTCCAACCCCAATGATCGCTAGGCCAACCGGAGCCCAGATGCATGCATATCTGAAGATCTGAAGTTAATCTCCCTCTCATTCTGACGTCAACACAGGTTAGTCCTGGGTATCAGTTTTCTAAAAATGACAAACTCCACTCAGTGTTTCGACAACACACACACACACACACACACACACACACACACACACACACACACACACACACACACACACACACACACACACACACACACACACACACACACACACACACACACACACACACACACACACACACACACACACACACACACACACACACACACACACACACACACACACGAGTTTTGGCGTCATGTTGTCATCAGGAAACGATCTAAATAATGACTCTGTGGTCCTACCTTTAGTGGCCCCTGCGGCCCCCAGGTGGTAAACGGCCCCCAGGATGAGCCACAGAGCCTTCTGCTCCTCTGCAGAGATGCCGAGCACCTTCATGGCCGCCTGCAGCTTCGTGAACTGTTGAGAGGAACGCTGTTTGTCCTCCGGCTGGAAGAGGGAGAGCGGTTAAGACTTCACTGATCCAACAGTAGGAAGCACTACTTATGAATAATTATTTTATAAATGAATACAGCATATCAATCTTATCTGTCTGCTGACTCAGAGTTTCTTTCCTGCAATCTGTCCGTCACATAATAGTGATAATGGATGCAACGGGAATCAAATGTTCCCAGTAAATACACCAGTGTTACCTTTTACACTCCTCATTTACATTTTTAATAAAGCTCATTATCTGTGGAACACAAACGTTCACATGGATATATCATTCTAGTGAAGGAGAGCAGAAAGTACCGCCATGGGTAAAGAAAGAAAGAAACCATTGCCCTTCATATTTGAAGTTCTTTCAGTTGTTTTGTATAAATAAGACAGGAGCACAACATTTCACTGTCATGCTGTCCTGTCTGACATTTTGTTTCTGCGGTGTCATCAGAAGGTCTCATCTTTCCCTGTCCGTACACTTCTCTGTGAGCGCAGCATGACTTTGACCTGTCAGGTTATATCCTCTCTGTCAGCTGGTTTATTGGCTCTGAGTCAAACGTCCTTCCTGTCCTCATGTGAAAAGTGAAATCTGACACTTTGAGCTTCATATCGGAACGTCTGCTGTTGTACTTAATATCAATATCACACTTAAAGAAAAGAAAAGTCTGTCTAAACATCTTGTGATTCTACATTTCTGTATTACTATCTGCCTCTGAAATGCTGACTCTGTCATGCAGTGACTACTAAAGTGTCAAACGAAACATTTCAAATAGATACATTCAAAATGAAATCTCTGCTGTGATTACCTTCGACTGGGGGAGGATCCCAAAAGCGCTGTTCTCAGCCAGGTGGTTGAAGTGCAGCTCGGTCCTGTCAGAGAGGAGGAGAAGAAGGAAAAGAGAGAAAAGTAAGGAACTGTTAACTAGGACTAACCGGGCCAGAGCATGGTTACAACTTGAAGTCTATATATCATCGTAATACAACACATGCATGGTTTTACATGATCAGGAAGCGGGCTTAGTTTAGACAGACTCTGCATCCACACTTCAGAGAACAACACAGAGACCATGGCAGTCATGTTAGTCAGATACAGCCAGAAAGCTCTGAGATTTCTCCGTAATGGAAGGCTGGAAGTTGAATGTCTGTATGTAGTTGAATTAAAGGCATTAAAAAGTGACGCAGGAGTCACCTGAGGCTGCTGTCGGCTCCGGCCATCATGTAGTAAAAAACGTTGAAAGTGGACTCGGCCTCAGGTCGTCTGCTCACCCTCAGCTTCTCCAGCAGCATCGTCTGAGCAGGAGGAGAAAACGAGCCAGAGACACCTGATGTGAATCTTATTTGACTATGAAAGTCAAAACATTCATCTGTAGAACTGTTTAATCAGGGTTTTTTATTCAAGCTGTGATTTACACTGATGCTGTGTTTTACCTGGATGGAGGCGGACGCCACCTGCCCCGCCTGGTCAAAGTCGAGGGACACCACGTGGGAGAAGCGGCTGGCGTTGGAGTTCATGGACGTGGAGCTGTTTCCAAAAGCTTCCAGGATGGTGTAGACGGCCTGCCACTTCTCAGCTGGGTCATTGAAAAAGGAAAAAAAAAAAACAGTGTCTCGTTGTTTGTTCTGGAGGATTAGTGTTAAAGCCCACAATCCAAGATTATTTACATTTTTCATGCTACAGAGGACTTAAAGAGTCGCAGCACAAGAGAGACAAAACTATATGATGCACTCAAATGTGCAACAAATGACAGATTACACAGAACTGCTCATGACATTAGAGCACAAAGCTCACTGAAGAAGCTGCTACAGATGTGGGTGAAAATGGAAATCACCAAGCCAACACCAGTTTCAAAAACATCTTGCTCCCACTGTTTTTATCAATGGAGTCTGGTAGCTTTGTAGAAAGCGGTGTATTGGCTGATTTTGTTTTGAGGAAATAGGGCCCAGGTTCAAAATGAATGGAATAACCCTCCAAGAATGTGGTACATTAATAATTTATGGATATACTTTAAATCAGTATATTCATCTTCAGATAGACTTCTAAAAACAAGGTTATCGTTTGACCACAGTGATGATTTTATCTGTTGTTTCTCGTTCATTTCACCAGCTATATAGCATCTTAATAAAGTCCCATAAAACTGAATGTCAAAGTTCCCCCACAGCCTGCTAGCTGTTTCTCTCTCTCTCTTTTAGGGTCTGTATTTTGAGCTTTTGTGATGGCCCTCTTTTTTCTCCGTCTGCAGACCCACCAGAGAAGATTTTGCCCGTGCTCCCGGCGATGGAGACCAGGTACTGGACCAGGTGCTGGCAGTTGGTGGTTTTGCCGCTGCCAGACTTTCCCAGCAGCACGATGGACTGATCCTGACGGGTGGTGAGCAGGTTCCTGTAGGCCGACTGGGCCACCGAGTAGATGTGGGGAGCTGAGTCCTCACGCCGACAGCCTTTGAACATGTGCATCACCTGAAGGAGGGGAGGAAGGAAAGGTATTTTCATTTTGTAAAGTAGAATATCAACACACATCCTGAGTAACCCTGGACATCTCAAAGAAACTCGAGCACTGCTAAAGACTCTAAAGCTTACCTTCTCGGAGTACATGGAGGGCATGCTGAGGGGGTTGATGACCACCGTGTTGGGCCCGGCGTAGCTGTGGATGAGGTTTCCTCCGTAGCGCTGCCTCAGACAGTGCATCACACTCGATTCATTCAGGTAGAGCAGAGAGGCCAGGTCCTCAGAGCGGTCGAACGAGGGAGGGTTAGCCTGCAGGGAGAGAGAAAGAGGATATTTAAAGGAATTCAACTCGTGGCAGACGATCTTATGGCTGATGAGTTCTTCTGGTGAAGGGCCGAACTGAAATATAAATAAAGGCTTATATAAGCCTCCATGAGTGACATGATGTACCGGGAGGTCTCACATTCATCAGAGTAAAGTTCTCTTTTTAGGTTTGGATTTCATTTTGTTGAGGACGATGAGGAGTGTCTGATGTGAGGTGAGTAAATGCCTTGTTTTGTTTTTGTTTTGTGTTTTAGTTCCTGTGGAGAGAACTAATGATGATCCTGAGTAGATTAGTAAACTAAAAGATTTCCATAAATATCAGCTGTCAACATTATTTCAAGCCAACAAGCTTTTTAGTGTTAAATTCATGTCACTGTTGTTTTCAACTACCGTACTATGTCACTTAGCGTTAAGCTAAATTTAGCAGCAGCTGTGCTCGCAGACCTCCAAAGCCTGGTGAAAAATAAGCTTTAAGACGTACTAACTTCTCACATGACATTGTTTTTCTAACTCTATGATCCTTTTCTTTTCCCTCAGGTTTATGGATTTTAGAGAGAAGGAGAGCTTCATGGATGAGTCAGCTCTAAAAGTTTGTTTCCTGTTTTAGTTGTTCCTGTGGAGGGAACTAATGATGATCCTGAGTAAATAAATGAGTAAACTAATTAACAGTTTTCTTTAAATATCAGATGTCAACTCAAAATTATTTTCAATTATTACTGTTACTACTTCTTCTCACTTAGCGTTAAGCTACATTTAGCAGCAGCTGTGCTCGCAGACCTCCAAAGCCTAGCGGAAAAAAAGCTTTAAGACATACTAACTTCTAACATTTCTTTTATACCTCTATGATCTATTTCTTTTCCTCAGGTTCATTGGTTTTGGAGAGAAGGAGAGCTTCATGGATGAGTCAACTCAAAAAAAGTTTGTTTGGGGGACAGATTAGTCCCTTATTTCATGTTTTTACTGGATTCAAACGGGGGTCAACATGGGCTGCAAAAGTAACCAGACATAAAATGTTACCCCTTTGAACCACTGCAAGATCATCAAGGAACATCTGAGTCTGTGTTCAAGCATTTCAAGTCCCAGAAAGTGCAGGAAGGAAAATGCACGCTCGAACCTGGCTGATGAATATTAGACGTGCGTTAAATTCACCAGCTTGGTTGCAAGACGGCATGTTTCGAATTAAATCAAAATAAACTACAATGTGAAGCAAGATGGACAGAAAGGCAGTCATGCTTTGGATGCAGAGATGATACATGATCGATTTCATGTTAATGAAACCATTCATGTGTTTCTTAAGAGTCGGGAAAAATATGAAATATTTCCAGATTTATGCTTTTAATTTGACACAATTATCAGAAAACTCTTCCCTTCTACTACGTTTCCCCTTTATAAAATAGAAAAAGTATGACACAGCAGATTTTTAATTACCCATTAAACAGAGGAAATACTTTCATCATTACATCATGAAGATTATAATTAATAGATTTTGTCCTCTGATTAGAATAAATATTAGGCTGTTTGTTCGAGTAAACACGAGAAAACTGTGACCGAGTAAACAAATGTAAACAAACCAACCCCCCAGCTGTCCCCTGTGACCTCTCCTCTACCTTTCCCATGATTCCTTGTGGCAGCCAGTGTCCTCTGTGACCATCTGTGGCAGCCTCGAGGCTCTGACACAGACGGTGTGACAGGTGGAGATCAGACCTCCTCTGTCCTGATCAGAGACTGCCAGCACCTGTCAGCTTCAGGCCAGCTCCAGCTAGCCTCCTTTGTATTCAAGCCACACTTCCTACACTTGACTAGTAGATATATCAAATCTAAAACTACTGTGAAATACTGCATCCTCACCTGAGGACAGTTTCAGCCTTACAATTTATTTTATTCATGACTCCATCTCACCTTTTCTATATCGTCTTCGTCCACGTCCAGTAAAGTCCCATCATGCTCCAGTTTGATTTTCACCTTTCCCTCTGGCAGAGAGCCGGCCTCTGTCTTCACCACGGTGGCTGAAGGGAGAAGAGGACAGGACGCATTGATGGTTATTTGTCTGCCAGCTGATACTCATCCGTTTCTCTTGAATCAAAATGTAAAAAAGCTCAACCGAAGCAAAGACAGTTTATGCTTCTTAACAAAAATTATTTCCCTTTTGAATATTTACATGCTGAAGAATCTTTTCTAACTAATGAAGGAGGTGTGCAGATCCGTGAAAACAACGAAACAAGAAGATTTGATATTCTTACCATGACGCACTAATCTAAGAATTTGAGATTAAAGTCTTAATTTTACGAATGAACTTGAAATTTATCAAATAAAAAATAAAAAATTTGCAAGCTTGAAATTGTCATTAATTTAGTAGAGTGAAGTTATGAATGTATGTGTTTAAAGTTGTTTATTCATTAGAAAAAAGGTAAAAAGGTAAGAGAATCAAGTCATAAATCTGAGTTACTTTAAGTGTTTGCATGTGTGTGCATGTCTATATGTCTGTGTGCGTGTGTGTGTGCGTGCGTGCGTGTGCGTGTGTGTGTGGAGAAGAGAACTGAATGGAAGCAAGTGGATCACATTAAAGTCAAACATGAATATAAGTAAGAATATATACATAGACAACATGATTTACAACATAACAGAATTTAAATTGGATAATATATTTCTGTTAACATCTTAACTAGATGACCATAAAGACGTTTCCAGGGGTGGAACATGCATTTTAGACAACAACAATCACCTTCATTGATATTATATTCCATTTCAAAAATCGTACTACTTGTACAGAAAAGGGGCAAAATAATAATCCCATCTCACCCAGGGAGAATCCATCTTTGTGTACCAGCCAGACTTTCTCGGATCCATACCAGGCCTGCTCGTCTGCAATCTGCTCCTCGGTCTTCACCTGCAGGACACAGACAACGAGGAGGGACGTTACAGGAACAGCAGAGACGACGCACTTCACAGGACCGCTCAGAATCACAGAGGGTCTTTCTTTACTGTGACCACCAGTATCACCAGTCTGATACAGCACAGCATGACGAGCATGCAGCGGAGCGCCCACACTTCACTGAGCAGTGCATGCTTCTGTGTGTGTGACTGAGTGAGTGTGTGTCTGTGTGTGTTGTCCTGCAGGGTGAAAATGTGTGTGTGTGTTCAAGTTTGTGAATGAGAACACTCAAACCACTCAAGACGTCAAAAAAAAACAGGCTTCAGGGGAGAGTGAGGGGGCTTCAACAGCAACCAAAATGTCAGGGGTAATCACACTTTTATTAACGCAACCAGGAGCAGGTAGTGAGGGAGGAAGACACCACACTAAAATTAAATAACAAAATAAATCAATGATTGGTTGAATTTCACACAATATTAATGAAAAAGTGAACCAAACACACCGCACTCTGCAAGCAAAATGTAGATAACACAACACAGCACTCCACAAAGCATGAGGGGTGGGGGAATGGGTGGGAGGGGGCGTTTGTTTGGTGAGCTGCAGGTGAACCACACTCAGGCACAGAGGAGACCAGACCTGGGACTGATTAGCTGCAGCATGAGACGCCTGAAGGAGGGTCACAGGGTCCTCTTCCACTGATCCCTGGTGTTTTGGTCAGCATGAAGAGGTGAAATCAAAGCTCACAGTTAAACATGAGAAACAGATGTTTCAGAGGCACAAACATAGAGATCAAATGGACAAGTGACGTTATTCTAAAACGCTGCAGACAAACCTGTGAGAGAGAATCAAGTGTATTAAAGAAGCATCTAGAAAGGACCTGTTATGATCCACTCATTGGCTTTAAAACAGAGGCACTGAACGGCAAGTGGAAAAAAATAATTAAAGGAAAAATAAATGATTACTACCTTCTAGGTCTGATGTAAAAAAAAAGAAAAAATCTTTTAAGAACCAGCGGAGAAAAGGCTTCCAGATGAAAACAGTTTTGGGACACTGTTTTTCTGAGCCTAAAACACTTGAATGTATTCATCATGTATGGAGAGTGAAGTGTGGTGGTGCATATCAGCCCCTAGTGGCCAACAATGGCATTACAACAACAAACACTTGTCCTGCCATAACCTTTTATTTCTCCTGTTTTTGCAGATCAGAAAGCTACTCAGAAAATCATCTATTTGTTTTAAAGGATATATACTAATACATCAAATCAAATGATATGTGTACAGTCTGTGTTGTATTATAATGTCTGATTTAATATGTTTCTGTATTTCTTTTAGTTTGTTGCTTCTGTTTTGATCCTAAAAGCTTCACCAGGAACAGGAGTTTCAAATTAAGCACAGCTAGACACCTGTATGCAGGGCATAATTTATGAAGCAATGTTCATTACATGTGTCCCTGATAATTTAAGATAATAAAATAAATGACTTTGCAAAGCTTTTGTATTGTATATTTAGAAAAAAACAAGTAATCAGTTGAACTCTCATTCAGTTCCAGTTATGCAAAAAGAGAGAAAAAAACAATTGGACTTTGTGGTAACACACCTCACACATGCATGTTTCAGTGTGTCGCTCCATCAAAGCTCATGCAGCTTGAGTTTCCATCAGCCTGAGGCGGTAACATCATGCCACTGTGTTAAAAAACTGGAGCTTATACCAAAAGCCAAAACAAGACAAAGAACTGCCAGAGAAGCCTTTGACTGAATAATTCACACTTAATAAAACATTGAGAGACAAAAACAACTCAGAGACTGATTAGAAAACAGACATAAGAGGTAGTTTGGTGAATCTAAGAATTGAGCTTAATACAAAAAAATATATATATAAAAAAACAAAGATGAAACTTCACTCCCAGCTCTGCCAAAATGCTAAGGTATTCTTATTGTAAGGTTTTATATAAGTTTTGTAACCTGTTACTTAAGTTGAATCACGCTTACTGAGTCGTATGAAATGGTTTGTTTTGCTGTCACTCCACCCACTAAATTCTACCTACGCTTGAAAGGCCAATGTTTCAGATTACTTCTCTTTTTGGAAAGGTTAAAATCTCTCTAGTTATATAATTCTATGCCTTGTTTTCTTTGTTTCTGAATGAGGCTTCAAATGTCTCATATCTATCTCTGCACAACATAAGGAGGATGAATATGTATAAATGTCCCTGGACTGTTCCTACAGCCTACCTCACTTTTTTTTAAAGTGAGGTTTCTTTCATTGCAATAAAAAAATGAAATAGAAGTAGGACCAGACCAATATTTTTGGGGCCCATACCAATATCAATACTGGGGAGAAGAAAAAAACGATATATCAGCCGATATTTTTGACTGGTGAATAAATCTAGCACTATCAGCACATATCTGAAATCAAATGAGCCGATACTGGATATGCTGATATCGGCCGATGTTATCGCCTGACTGATTAATTGGTCGGACTCTAAATAAAAGTCAATGATTCTTCTTTACTGTATCATCCAAAACTGAAAAAAGTGCATCTTGAGACAAAACTTCCAACAAATTACAACCAATATTGTGGTCTTGGTAAACCTTATAATTAAATATCTCACATGGGATCTGAGCCATCAAATAGTATTTTAATGGATTCAATCTTACATCCTGTCAGTCTTTTTCAACTGGTCACAGTCTAATAAAGATCATCGAAAACTGAAGAAAAGAGAAATGGGGGGTGAGGAGTGAGGGGGAGGAAGTTAGAAGGATTTTGGACCTTACACTCCGACAAGCCACACGAGTACAAATTCCAGCCAGGAGGCCCAGAGGAAGGCTGGAGGGCTGCGGTACCTGAAGGGGGCCCAGAGGCTGGGGGGCCACGGGGGCGAGGGCTTGGACAGAAGATGACACACTGACTGCTGGCTCCAGCTTAGCCACCAAGCAGCCACAGAGACACAACGACAGCCAGCAAAAGCAGTGTGAGTGAGGCATGGAGAGAATGAAGGGAAGAAAAGGGAGAAGAAAAAGGAGAAGAAGACAAGGTGAACATGGAACAGTGGATGAAGAATATTCTTACAAGAAAACGTAAAAAAAAGCATGGAAACTCAGTGGAAAGACTCCTAACAGTGACAGAATACCAACGTGTTCAAGACAAATGAGTGCAGCTATCGTTAATGGGCCCGCTGTGATTTTACTTGAAAAGGAACGTGCTAGAGCAGAGGAGTCAAAGCGAAGTGGAGCTATAAGTTAAGAATAATAAAGAATGATCAGAGATGGATCGGGATTTGGTTCATTAAGTGATGATAACATACAGTAATAGAAGTGGCCATTGACAGATTTAGTATCACAATCATCGTACTTTTATCTTATAGAACAACCAATTATACTTAACAACGTAAAGTTAGATTACAGATACAGTCAACGACTAAAGTATCATATGATCGTTTCTTAAGTTAAGAGATGCTACGTTAGTTTTTTAGCAACTATACTGTCTGTAACACTTCAGTTGTGTCACCTGATTTCTTCTTCATTTGTTATTTAATGGCAGTTAGCAACCAGCTTTAAGATAAGCTACAGCCACTATCTGGCAATGGCAGCGCATAACAACAGGGTGTCGGTAAAAACATTGGGAAAAAATATATTTTTAACATGAGATATGAGTTGCATGATAACTTTGATTTGTTTTAAATTAATGGACAATTGGAAAATTGCGACACATTCCTATTTGGCAACAAAGGAAAAATATAAACGTCAAAAAAGTCGTAATCTTCAACTCCCATAAACATTTTTGCTTTAAAGGTTAAATCAAAGTGATCATCATTGTTTTGCATTAAACTAAAAGGGTGGGGTGTGTGTGAAGACAAAGACAAGACATCAATAATACACAGATGGAGAGACAGAGCGGTGATTTACAGGGGCACCGAAGATCCTCATCAGGCGTCTCTGAGCCTCCTCGGTGGGACTTAGCGGCGCCTCCTACAGGTCAAAGCAGCAACACAGTGACACTACGGTAAGCCAACTGTTAGCAATGAAGCAAAGCCCTTTTACAACACAAAAACTTAAAATACATTCAGAGGTCATTTGTTCCCAAAGTCAGTCAAAACCACTCGAGGACACTCACAACGCAACGGTTGGGTTATTGTGGAATCCAATTTTGTTAGCTGAACCTCCCTGATGGAGAGTTAACATCCACTTCAAACAACATGCACAATAAAAAATCAACACGTTCACACTTTGAATTTGCAAAACACAAGTAGTATCAAAAACCCTACCGAGCCAGTGAATATGTGAGCCAGCATGAATGAATTCCAGATAAGTCAAAGTACAACAAAGAACTAGACAGATATGGGTGTTCTTAGTCCTTTCAGCCAGTGGAGCAGGTGCGGTATGTTCCTGGGAATAAGCTCTACATGGGTCTCCTGCTAGTGACGATACATTTTGGGCTAATGAAGTCACATGAGCAGGGGCTAGCGTAGATTCTACCACAGAACGTGCTTAAAGGTCATGAAGAGCATGATAATACAGCGAAATCCCATAAACCCCTGCGCCCTACTTGAACAGTTTCTGACACGTTAGCACAACAGAATGCAGCAGAACTAAAAGATAATGCATCGATAAAGGGATGGGATATACGATCAGGACTTTTACTACTCATGTATGGAGTTTAAAATGATGGTATCATGACAGTCCTACCCACTGTATTGGTCCAGCTTAACCTGGTCCCAGTCCAAAGATTTACTCTGTCGATTCATTACTAACATGCACAGCATTGGGTACACTGTTTCTTTCCCTTTTGCCATTTGGCTTCAACCCCAAACACTCAACCATCATGAACATCACCCTTTTTTGTTCAAGACCAAATTTTTTTGCATTTTGCAATTTTGAAAATACGGACAGTAAACGATAGAGACCAACCACCCAATGATGTGCATCATTTATTTGGCGTCACTTAATTTTGTCTCTCCCCAGTGGCTCAGAAAAACACAGTTCTCAGTTAACTTAACCTGGTTATTCTCAACTGACGAAT